CATTACTGTTCCTTATAAAACACACCTGCTGCACCACTGTTCCTTATAAAACACACCTGCTGCACCACTGTACCTTATACAGCACACCTGCTGCACCACTGTACCTTATAAAACACACCTGCTGCACCACTGTACCTTATACAGCACCAATGTTACTGCACTGCTGTATTATTCAGAGCACATGCACACTTTAAAGCACAGCATGCGACACCGAACTGGGACTGACTGGATTAAATCCTGTGCTAGTGAAGGCTGGGTGGGGGAAAACCAGAAGATAAAGTTGGTGAAACTAGTGTCTTCTGGATTCACTAGAATACATTTCATCATTCTCTGCACCCAGAACACCACGAGATGTAAAGGTCTTCCACTGGTCTAAAACTGTGTGTCCAAGCAGGGCCAGAGCCTGGTACACTCTGTTAGCCCACACGGGAAGCTGAAGGTTCATGACTTTTGCTTCAGGGATGTAACCGTGAGGAGTGTACAGCCAGTGATGAACACTGCAGTCAAAACTGAAACACTGTTTGTACTCTTCTCTTTACCTGAGAAGAGAGCAGTGGCCTCCTTGATCGGTTCAGGAATTCTCTCCAGGTGACTGAAATCTGCCCCCTGAAAGGAAACACAATATTTCACTCACAGCTCTGCTGGACCTGAAGTGAATGTCATACACAGACAGGTGAAGGGAACCCCATGTTATTGGCTTGGAATGCAGAAGATTACAATATGTGGGGACAGTTGACAGTTATTCTAAGAACTAGTGAAGGACACTGACCAACAAAAATTAAAATTAGGAGACCCTTTTCCCAGATCAGCTAGCTGTAACATCAGTGGTCACTCACGTCCTTGAGTACAACAGGTAAGACGCCATCAGGCCCTGCTGGTTTATTAACCTTGAGTGCTTCTAGGACACAAAACACTTCTTCTTCTTTGAAATTAGAACTGTTGACTTCAGACAGAAGTTTGTCTTTCTGCTGCCTGAGACACGCTGGTGTCTTCTTCCTCAGTGCACACCTGAGTGAAATACTCGCTCGGTACATCAGCCACTTCCCTCTCTGTCTAGAGATCTCCCATTTCTGTCCCGGATATACTGTACTGTATCTCACTTCATCCTTGCTGGTTCTTTTGTTGCTGTAGTTCCAAAAGAATGTTTTATTATTTTAGCCTCCATTACAATATTCCTTTCAATTTATTGATTGGATTTTCTAATATGCTTTTTACCTGTGCTTGAAATTCACTGTACTTGTCTTATTTAACTGGATCCTGCTGTTTTATAATCATAGGAATGGCTAATGACTTGGGATACTGTTTTCTGGTTTTTAATTTACTCACTTTTTGGACACACTGTATATGTGCTGCCCTTCCAAGCAGAATATGTTTTAACTGTGGCCACCAGTTTCCCAATAGTTTCCCGTCTATACTCTCCCATTTCACTTCTCTTGAACTGCCTCAATCCTTTGAAGTCTGCTTTCTGGAAACTGCACACTTTTGCTTTGGACTCAAGGTGCACAGATTCAAAATAGACTTCAAAGCTACATCACCTTATGATCACAATTCCCCTCTCCTCTGTCTCACTCTGACCTGTTTGAACAGACTAGATCTATTGAAGCACTTCCTCTTGCAGGTGCTCTGACAAACTGGGCAAGAGACCAGTCATTCACCATTTCAGTGCCTGCTCCTGACACCCCTACAGGTCTTTCCCAGGCTAGGTACCCACCTCCGCGTCTGGCCGCTGCAGTGTGGACATGGACTGGACAGTGCTGAGGTCACGCTCCAGCTTCAGGATTAACTCCTTCTGCTCCGTGCTGGTGTGCACCGCCTCGGAGAACTCCAGCTGCAGCTCGGCGTAGCGGCCTGTCAACACAAGGGCCCCCACACAGAGGAGACTGCCATGACGTTCGTGCATCACCACCTTCGCCACAGCTACTGCTGCTGAAGGGAGGAATGACACATCTGCTTCACGCCTGGGTGAAAAGGCCATTTAGGCAGAAATGCAGCACAAAGGCACTTGGTTTGTTTTTATTCTTCGCTATCAACAGCTGAAAAACAAAATTGATGTCAGTATGATTTTCCATAAGTGACACAGAGGTCCCTAAAGGTTTTGTGGGATGCACACCCTGATGCACAGTGTCTGTTTCTAGAGAATAAATCAGGACTTTTCGGAGACCTGCACAGACCAAAGAAACCCTAAACTAGAAACCTTTACATCAAAAATGATGGAAATTACTGGTGAAGTGAAGCAGGAAAGTCATATGGGGACACTTGCGTAATGCGATATGGTCAAAGCAAGAAGATGTTACAGGAGAACGCAGTACACGCAGGGCGACTCACAAGCTGCAGGGGACTGTCATCCCCTGTGAGACTACTTCAAGTAGGACAAAGTTAGGAGATGAGCAAATGGATCAGGATCTACTTAAATTTCAGTTACTCATTTGTGCCGTACTTACCTCAGGTAATGAATGAAAACGTAATGTACAGCGATGCTGCCACCGAGAGAGAACGCCTTTTGCAAAACACACTCATGGGCAGCTAAATTGGAAGACCAAAGACCAAACAAGACCAAAGGAAGCACCCCTGCCACCCAGTGTGTTTTAGGCAATGGCAATATGTCCCCAGTGGAGTCATGTTAAAGATCCTGTCCTTTCCTTGGTTCTGATCCGGACATCACGCCTTGACACCACTCCCCGGTTCTCCGCTGAGCGGCAGCAGACTGCTGATGGGCTGCAAGCCCTGACTACCCTGTGTTGGCTACAGAGAAATACTGGCAAGAGATGCACATACGGCCAGCTTTTTTTTCCAGCTGAATCGCTGTAGAACAAGTGGAAAACCATTGCGATAATGCACAAACGAACCCTCACCTGTTCAGACCTGGCAGAGTGATCTCTGGACTAGCAGCCTGTGCTCCGAGCAGAGGGCTTTACTAAGAACTGCTCTGCAGCCCTCCTCTGTCAGCATCTTGAGAAAAGAGCACTGGGCTGAAAAAGAAGGTGGGGATCAAGCTCTCTGTGCAAGTGAGCAACGTCTATGAATGGCACTTATCCTTGGGTACATGCTGTGCACCCCTGAGGCCTGGCACAGTGTATTCACAGGGAAAAAGGACAGTCTGGTGATTTTTTCATTAGCCTATGTCAGCTGATTTTGTTAATCCTGCGGCATTAAAAAAAACATGCATTATTTTTTTCAGAGCAAATACAGTATCTCCAGAATGAGACATGTTTGTTTTTCTGTAGAACTTTGCTTTAAATAACCAGGCAAGATGGTAACTGGTATATTAACACGAACACAACAACTGAAGCATACATACATACATACACTATGTCACAAATTCTTAAGAACCTGCTGTCAAATCAGTTTTTCTCTTCTCTAGAGCACGTCAGGAACGCAGCCTAAAACGTCTTTATGAGACAGGATCATATCATGTGGTACACAACCCCGATGCACAGCAGTTTGATTCCTTCTACAGACCCCGAACCAGTACTGGGACATCTTAAGCAAAACCCCATGTGTTTTCTCTTCTGGAAAATTTCAATAAACACACCACACGCCAGCTTTGTGTTTGTATAAAAGATATTTACTTCAATTATCACACCTAGGGTGCTAGTGAATAATAATAATAACAATAATAATAATAACAATAATAATAATACATTGTGTGAGTTTCATACAGTGATATTGCTTCTCCATATTGTATAGGGACTGTCTTACAGTGCTGAGAACACACTACATGACTTAACACGTTTAAAAAAAACACAAAACAGTCAAACAAACAAAAAAAAAAGGTTCTGGACAAAAAGAGAAGGTATTCTGTTGACAGAGGGGACACCTTCTCCATCGCCAGCAACCACACTGCCTCTTCCCGAATTCTTGGGGGTCGGGTGAACCGGATCGGGCGGCCGCGAGTGGCGATCGGCAGCCCACGGAGCTGCACCCGGAAGCTCGCAGGAGACCGGGAGCAACGGACAACAGTGGACCCACGAGGGTCGCAGGGCCTTCTGGGTAAATGTCCGCCTGAGCTGTGAGCGACAATCGAGCTGCTTGTCCGCTGACAGACTGAACTTCATGTTTGTTTCTAAGCCAAAGGAGACACCAGCAGAACCCTTCACGACTACGACCCTCAAGGACGTCAGCTGACCCAACACACCGCTTAAACTCAGAAGAATTACTTTTAAAAGCCTGAAATCGCAAAGGCCCAGAATCTTTATTCATCTGAACCCCCCCCCCACCTCATCAATCTTCTCCTTCGTGGTGAAGCGTTTCTGCTTTTGCTGTCGAAAGACACTCTTTTTGGTTGACTGGATTTCTGTAACAGGGTAGAAGAAAACTTCAATGTGAAGTTTGGAACCCAAACTCAAGAGCTTCACTTAAGAGAAAAAAAAAAGAAAAACAAAAAGAAAAAAATTGCACGAAACCTAAACCCTACTGTAGCCACTGCTGTACAACGGAGGTCTCCAAGCCCTGTGTAAGAATTAGCAGGAACAAGTCAACAACTTCTCTGTTGGAAAATACCAGTTCTTACAAACGTTCCTTAGCTCTTGGACGGTGGAAAAATTTTGTTTATTGGTATAAAATCTTGATCTGCTATAATTCATCAAATTAACAAGCAATAAACAATAGTTTTAGTGCTGTAAATTATGCAGAAACAATATCCACTTAAAACCGAGAGACTGTTTTTCCCTACACAGCAATGGTCATTGACGCTTCAGAAAAGAAAGATCCGGTATAATGGTGGATTCAATTTGAGAGTAAGCGGTTAAAGTTGGCATTTTGTGCATCAGAACTTTTATACAAGATGCCAATTGTACACAAAGGCTGGAGACCTCTGGCACTTGAAAAGTTGTGAGCGTAGCCCCCTTTGTTCCCCATCGCTGATAAAAGTAGTGTCCCTGTTTCTAAGTCATCAGATGAAAAAAGTTTTCTTGTAGAAAAAAGACGGCTTATAAATCTGGTATTAGTAAAGTGAGGAGCCGCACAGACGGCAATGAAGTTAGCTCGTTACAAATCGAAGTCAACGTAAAATCTGTGTAACAATTTCTACAAAGGCCCTAAGACTTTCCAGTAAGAACAGGACTGCAAGAAAGCCAAGTATCAAATAAATAAACAGCTTGTGCCGACGAAGGCGGTAACGTGCGAGCTCTCCCGAGCCGAGAAGACCAGCCCAACCCCGGCGCACAGACTCGCACGAGCTCTCTCCTGAAGCTGGCGCGACCCTCTGGGCGCAAGGCGTGAGCCACTGAGCTTATCAAAAAAAGTTATTCAGTGAATAAAATCACTTAAGGAACGAGTTGCGTGGCTACACGAAGACAGACCAAAAAACAATACGTGTCACGTGTTGGAAAGAGGCCAGCAGAATCCCTGCGGACTACAAAACAGCACTTCATCGGGTACAAGTAGCAGCAGCAGCAAGGCACTCTGGGAGCTGTAGTCTTATGAAGCACACCCATACACAAAGTGTATTCTCCGAGCTGCAGAATGCCTAGAGGACTCTGGGGGGCGAAGCAACAGGCAGGTGGTAAAAGAGGTAATGAACTCAGCCTCCACTGACATATGAAGAAAAGCACTTTTTCGACTTTAAAATGCTAAGAAGTTAAAATTGCAGATTATAGTGGAGTTCAGATGTTATTGGTTCAGAACAAGAGTGGGGACTGGAACAAGTTGTGTGTCTTGTTCTCAAGTAGTGGTTCTTTGTGCACCTGGGCGCAGCTATGTGTGGGTAATCAAACCCACCATGAAACAAATTAGACCCATTCTCAAAATGTATCCTGTTTTTTAAACAGTTGCAGCTTTCAATCCGACTATAAAATGTTGAAAGTCACGTGACAGCCGTCACCCTTTTGGAGTGGCAGACTCCATCGTGTCTGATTGTACATCTGAGTCCTCAGGCGCTCGCCGGCCGTGAAATCCAGAGGACCCGCAGGAATGAGCGCTCTGGTCACGGCGGCTTCCACTGGGAACGAGAACGGCTCCCGCTCTCATGAGGGAAAACCCTGGCAGGATTTCGAATTTGTCAGGCATTGGCACCACGGAGGTGGGGACTGGGTTCAGAACCTGGACATGCCACTGCTGCTGTTGCTTCATTCCCACAGCACTGCTGAGCAGCTGCACACTGTGTGGATCCGATTCCGCAGGACAGCTCAACAACCCAGGACTTCCTGCAGCAGTGACTATACTGTACTATATACAGGGAATATTCAGATCTGTCAAAAGAAGAAGAGGACAAAGGCAAAGGGCTTTTCCACACACACATGGGGGGGGAAACAAAGCTTTTAAAACAAAACTAGACTTGAGTTTATTGCGTTGTGATGGCTGACCACCAGGCATTTACTTTTCCCTGATCTACTGTATATGCAACTACCTTCCGTCTCACAACGCTCCCATCGGCCCCTTGAATCCGTAAGGACAGACAGCTTTACAGATAAGCGAGTCGGACTCTGCAGTGATCCTGAACTCGGCGCAGAGCCGGACCTGCAGAGCGAGAGCACCGGGCCCTGCCGAACTGCCTGCGGTTCTAATCGGAACAGAACAGCTCGGAATACAAGAACTTCCGAGACGAAGACCCCGGCCTCCAGGAAGGCAGGCCGCAGAGCGGTAATCTCTCATCAGAGCACGCAGGTCAGGGAAAACGCTCGCTTTGTGTAGAGACAGTGGAGGGGACTGACCAGACTAGACAGGTCAACAATGAACGTCCTGCAAATCAAATCATTTCTCCAGAGTCAACTTTGCCAAATAAACACGCTCCCTCCTCTGTGATTCTAAAATGAATCTACAACAAGAGCTCACAAAAACTGCAAAAAATCTATTCCCAGGAGCGAACTGGGAACCCTAGTTTGATACTAGGATAAGGTTTTAAATTTCTGGGTCATTATATCAAACAAATAGACAGAAACATACAGGACACGTCAACATGAGACGTGTATCTATTGAATACAAAAAGAATGTAAAGCTAGAATAATGCTGTGATACAGATTAATGCCTGTTATAAAGACACTGAAAACCATGGGAAAACATATGGGTTTAAAAACAGTCGAAGGAAAGACATGGAATTCATTTTCCAATTTACTGAATTTCAAGCTTCTAATATCTTTAAATGAAAATGCATCCTGTAAGAACTGACTTCACTGTTTCTCCAGAACAGCTAGCTGATGTTTTTCAGTCTTGATGCGGAGAACAGAAGATGCTCTCCAACAATCCCACAGAAATGCTTCAAGACTTCAAGAGAAAACACAAACCCGTAGAAACATCGAAGAATTAGAACAAACTCTTTATCAAGGATATATTTATCTGTACAATTTTAAGTGACACTGTATAGAATCTCTATAGTAATTTGACTCATTTCTGTAGAAAAATACTTGCAAAGGGCAAAATCCTGAACTTTATCCAAAAGACGCCTATAGATTATATATAGTAAATAGTATAAGATCTGTCCAGAGGATAACATTTACTTCTGAATGCACTCCATATATAAATGCAGAGAAAACTGTGATATTTATAAACTGACGGCTTCATTTTGAAAATGTCTAAAACAAACAATGCCCTTTGTATAAACCAGTGTTACTCTGGGCGCACGCTTCTGCGTTCTACAGTAGCTCCCCGATTTTCAAATGACTTTAATTATGACCCACTGCATAAATACCTCCTACACACGAGTGCACACCTAAAACAGGGACCAATACAGTGAAAAACTTGCCAACATAACAACAAAAATATATAATCTCATACAAAGACAGAAGAAGATGTCACCTGTACCAATCCCAGCGGTACTATAGACCTCATACAACACGAACAGCACAAAACGCTCATCTTGATTAAGAGGTGGGCACGTTGATATGCTTTGCGTGTGTTCTACCTTACAGCGCGCGTAAAAACAAGTCTTCTTGCTTTACTAGATGAGCAAAGGTGATTTGGTCCTTGCATATCGTAAGTGTATAAAAGGATAGCTGCAGTTCTGCCTCGAGCAGCTTGCTGATTTCTTCCAGGTGTTGGAACGCGGTGGTGACCCCTGTCTCCGGACAGGAGGGCTGAGAGCCCAGCGCATTGACAGCAGGGTGTGTGTCAAGTCCCCCTGAAGCAGCAGCTCAGCTGCTTATACCCCAGGTATGCAAAGCAGAAAGAAGCAGACTTTCTGGCACTCACTGAAAGAGGCGCGCATGTATAGTAGTCTTGTTTCCCCGAACTGGTGGAGGTAAGGCGGATTGAAAAGCAATCGCCATTTCCAAACGGACAGGGGAGAAAAATTGGGGATGGAGGGATAATTCCTGGTGCGCGAGGTTGCCTCCTCAGCACACACTGTTGCTTATGGCGTATGAAAAAACTTCAGTAGCGATTTCTGACCACGGGCGAGAGTAAATGTTGCCGAGACAACTATCCCGAACAGCACGTTACTCATTCCAGTACGGCTCTTGGGAGCTTGACGAGACGGGTCCTGTTTGTCTACAGAGAGGTGCCAGCTGGAACAAGAGTCACTCAGGACTAGAAAAGAAGGCTGAAAAACGTCCCTTCTGATCTACTCAAAATCTCAAATGGATTATCAACACAGAGAGAACACACAACTCATTTTCTCCACCATTACCCGGGTTAAATATGCAACAAGATGTTCATAAGAATGATTTGAAGTAAATGGATTTGTAAGGACTGGGTAGTGGTACAGCACGGTACCACAGACTAGTGGACCAGGACACATTGTCAATTAATGAGAATGGATTTGCAGTAACTTAAAACAGTACAGTACTTTAAAGGTTAAATGAAATGCCCTTACTTTTGAACGCAAGATTTTAAGTTAAACACATGCTCAACAATAATCTTTCGACTGAAGGGAAAAGGCTGCTATGTTCTTTGTCATCACATATCCCTGAATCAGTGATCAGAACTGTAAATATACCCTTCAGTACAATCGAAAGCGAACCCAACAACTCTCTACAACGCACTGCACAACACGGAGACTAATCACTTCTGATTAAATTAATAACAGCAATAACCAGAAAGGTCAGTGCTGATGGATACAAGACTGACAGCCTTTATTTCTTTTATATTCCCTGTCTAAATTAGCATCATGAAACGTTCACAATGTTTGGGATCATTGTGTAAGGGCAAAGAATGTCACTCAAGAGTCCTTAAGAGTCTGCTAAAAAACTTCTGAGGTACAGCCTTCTTTTCTGTTTAGGCAACCCTGTCCTAAAGGCAGGCATGGAAATCCATGATAATCCTAAAACCTACCCCAACCTCAGGATTCCTAAGCTTCACACACGGACACAGCTGTTCAACTGCTCTTTGAGACCAGACCCACCAGCCCAGATTCCAGCCACATGGCAGCTTGCAGTCTATCACTACAGGGGCTATAGCAGTGATGCCAGTAGTCACCAGCAGAGTTCAAACCCAACCCAGAGTTTTGAGAACATCTGAAACCTAACTCATCCCGAATCACCAGGAATTTTCATTCCATTTCATAAAAAAACATCAGATTTACCACTATGACAGGAAAGAACACATGACTGGAAGACCCTTGCAAAATTATACAAATTTCCCACTGCTGGTCATCTATGTACTGTGGATATACAGGCACTGAAAATCTAATTTCAGCAATATTACAACCTAGCCCTCTGTGAGGCTCCCTGAATGGCTAAAGTTTCCTTCTAATCTCACTGGCCTTAAGACCTACTTTGGGTGGCAAATCACTGGACACCAGCGACACCACATGCCAGCACACTCCAAGACAACCAAGCTGAAACAATGCAGTAGAATCACACAGTCCCTGTGCACAAGGCTCTAGTCCCCTAATGCATTTCAATAGACTGTTTCTTTGAAAAGGAAAAAAGAGAGAGAAGCTCTTTACTTTTACAATACTGGCTCCAGGAGGCTTATTGTATGATCTCAACATCTGAAAATATATGGATTTGAAACATCGACAAAATGGACACTGGGTATTAGATTCAATCAAAGAACGGCTACCAGCAACTAAAAAACTGATATGTAAAATATGGTGATAGTGGCATTAAATTACAGATTGAAATATGTATGTCCACACATATGAACAAGCTGAGGCAAGTCTTTGCTATTGCGAGTTCAACGTGCAAAACAGCTAAACACTTCTCAAAGGTTTGTCTTTCTTGAGTTGCAGGGACTGCACAAGGCTGTATGGACATGTGACCACACCAAGACACAGCCGACCGTGCTGCTCCGTGTGCGGGGCTGGCATGCAGAGAGACTAAGTGACACGTAAGTGACATGTAAGGCTCCAGTGCTGAACCTCTTTACTGCAGGACAGCCGACCCACTGACATCAATTACATCAACACTCGCAGCCCGGACAGCTGCCAAGGCACTCTCAGGCCGCTTAAGTGCTTTGCTGGAATGATGGGCTCGTTAAATACGACTGTGCAAAAACGATTCGAAAAGGTGTTGCTGTTGATGTGTGCTGCCGCTTCTGCAGAACGAAGCTGCTCGATGGGAAGGGCAAGGATGGGCAGCTAGTGTGCACTAACCCTGACACCCACATAAGATGAAGGCAGTGATGATTATTGTGCTTTTGGACACACATGTACCTAAAGAGTTGAGTAAAATGAATGGAAACAGATTAAGACGGGGAACACATTTGTGCCCCCATCTACTGCTCAACTAACGGAGCCAAGTGTAGCCTTCTAGCCCTTCTCCAAAAACAAACAAAGTCAGACGGAGCTCCTGCAATCGATCACATCACTGATTTTTTTCCCCTGCTACAGAACTTGTGGGCTGATGTCGGTCCGAGAACAGCGCCATACTTTCAAGGTCAGTGGCAGAAGGTGTTTTGCGAGATGGCTGGATTGGTTTAGAGGGGGTCAAGACGCTTCAGGAATCTGGGAGTGCTTTGGTTTGTAACCAATTAATACAAAGGCAACAAATTCAAAGGGTTGCCCTCTGGCCTCGCCAGTGAGCAAGGATTTGGGTTTGTAACCACGATAAGAAAAGTAACAGGCCGTCTCTTAACTGTGCCAGTCCCGGGGACATATTCTGACAACAGCCCTGTGCTTCCAGAGTAATTGTATTACTCTTGCTTTGCAAAATGAAAGACTAGGCTGAGAAAGAGTGCTAAGGTTTGGAACCACTGGTTTGAAAAGGCATCTCACCCCAGGAGTGGGCTGCAGTGTCAGTTCTGACCCTGCTTGGTTTGCAACCACGTGTCAAGGCACATCTTCCCAGAATTCTCTGCAGGGACCCCCCAGCGCCTTCTGACTACCAGCTATTCAGACACATAAGTGCTATTTAAGTGCTTCTGTGTGAGCAATTTGCACGCTCTTTGCTGCAGAATACTTAGGTAGTACCAGGTATTCAAAGAATAGGGAATTATTACTAGGCTTTGTGGATCAGACAAATAAAATATCTATGATGAAAATACAGTTTATCGACTCAAAAAATTAGCACTGATTATATGGCGTGTAAATAGATTTCATGCAGTTCATAAACCAAAATCTATTTTTATAGTTTAATCTTGTAAAAATTAAATGTGGTCCTCACTTCTAGTTCTTGTGCTTTGTACACCTTAAGCTTGTGTGTTAAGGCTAATACTAGTTTTGATATGCATCTTAGTTACTTTTTTTTGCAATTACACTTCTAGATATACAAGCAACAAATCAATTCATAGAATTAAACAAGTTGTATGACCTATTTTGCAAAAAGGCTTAAAAAATTAAGCTTCTATTTACCTGTATTAGTCCAGGATATAAGAAGACATTGTGATGAACACGTTCACCAACAGTAACTGGACATACTTTAAGATATTTGTTTTTATCTGATCCACACAAGTTTAATTCATAAGTGTTTTGGAAGGGTGAAAATGATCTAAGCGACAGTATTGGACCCATGATTAATATACAACCACTGATTTTTTAAAAACATTTTTAGAGAAGTCAATTTTAGGCCATATACTGTACAAATTACTACAGGAAAAAAAATCACTGAAATGATCAGATAAGGATATGTCTTTTCTATACAGCCAAATAATTACAGTGGATTTTCTAACAACTAAAATCACCTGGTATGAGATTTTTACCTGTTGTACTGTTATTCACTATACACGCCTTGTGCAGTGTCATACAACACAGCTGTCCTTTGGGTTAAAACAGCCCCTTTCCCAGCTGAGAGCTTTGAGATGCAGTGTTTAGTCTGAATTTCAGCACTAAGTAACCCAATGGAACATAAAAGACCCAGATAAATGGTGAAACTTTTACAGAACAATCCGACATAAAACTTTACCGGGTCTACGGTTCAGCCTCCTGGAGTCAAACTGCAGGTCCTAGGAGCCCCTTGTTGCTGCTCTCTTTTGTCTACCTCACAGGCGGTTCTGTTTCTGAGCTGCTCCAAGCTTAAAAAGACGTCTGAGAAAATAAGTGTGTGTCTGTTGGTGCAACAGTCATGAGGGGAAAACGGCACCAAATTCACTGAAAGAAAAGACTCCTGGCGTGCAGGGACCACAACGTCGTCTCAGGGCAGCCGAGCAGAAAAACCGGGATCAAAACACGAAATCAAGAAACCAAAATAAGGACTGACATGTGACTTGATTTCGACTGAGCGCGCTGAAGTTTTCTGTACTTTTGTCCTCTTAAGAATATTTTTCTAATGACGTCTAACAAAGGGAAACAAAACACGCACAGAAAAAGCTGTAACATTAACTCATAACTGCAAACGCACCATATAATGCTATCATCGTCATCATCAACTGCTTAATTTTTCCGTTTTTCTCTTAAAACAATATAAATGACACTGTCAAAATAATCTTCAGAGTTCATTAATATACATGTATGACAACTACATCTTGTAAATATTACTCAATACTGCCGGCAGTCTATCAGTCTAAAAAAAAGGTAACTTGCCCCCTCATAATCCCTTCCATAAAAAACAAACAAAACAAAAATAAAGACATCAAATAAAAAATACAGCACCTATAAATAAGCCAACAAAAAAAAAATCTTAATATATTGAAATCCTCTATAGTAAGTCTTTAAGATATGGCGATAAAAGAAATCTAAAACTTAGCTAGGGCACAAGAAGCCGCAAAATTGATAAAACAGCTTATAAAGAAAGAAAGGGTGGCAGTTGTGCACTTTTATGTGTGCGCAGGTACATATACAAAAAAAGACGTACAGATTTATAAAATCTCATTCGCACTCCCCACACTCACTCGTGTTCTGGTTTGCTCATCGCCCAGCGCACACTCGACTCACACACAGACAAGGAGGGAGGCAGCAGGCAGGGACACACTGTGAGCTTGTGTCAGAGGGGCTGTGCGCTGTGTGTGTGGGCACGCGCTCCATTGTGCATATACTGTACAAAGCAGGACTGCTCACGAGTACAGGAGTGTTTTCAGGAGACAAGATCGGATATATTTACACAGGGTAGCCAAATAGAAAAGTCACCCATGCCCCCCCCGTCAATCAGTGAGTAATTTGATTTGTGACTCGACTGTTTCTAGAAGCAATTTGTGCCAGTAACTTAGCTATTAGCATTTTTAACAGCAATCAGACTTATTAACAGTCATTTGTAAAATAAGAGATGGGAGTTCTTAAAAGATCCTTGGTCATGAGTTTTAAACGAGTTGCAGTAAATACGTGTTTTAAGAAAAAGACGAACGTTTCTGACTGCCACTGTCTCTACCGAAAGAGTACCAGAACGTCCAGCAGCTACAAAGCATGCAAAACGCCGAAGATCAGGGCCTGCAGGCACTGTGACAAGTGCTCCCCTGCCCTTTGTCACAGAGCACAGATCCCGGTCAAGTCAGCTGTTTAAACGCATGACATTTTGTCTGTGTAACCACTAACAACGAAGTGCATGTAATGACACACCCAGTAAAGTAGCACAAAACGTGTACACTGTAGTTTTGCCTACTGCAGCTCTACATCCTCATAACAGGTGCAGACCACACTACAGCACTCGCCTAACTCTTTCTTATCAAACAAAACCAAGTCCTGCATTTACAGTACTTGAATATCGCTCAGTCGTGTGTTGAGCTGAATTAAACTGGAGAAACCATATTAGCTAGCCGAAAAAATGGGGTGCAGGGTCGACTTCAAGCCTGCACAAACATGGTAACATAAAATAAATATTGTGTAATGCACCCCCAGTAAAATGAGATGTTCGTGCACAGGCTGTGGACATTTATGATCACACCACAGAACTCAGAAATCAAAAGCCAACACAATGGTAGTGAATGCTATGGGAAGAGTGCATCCCTGTTTGGGAAGGTACATTAGGCTGCACTTCTTAAAGCAAGACTTTGGTATTAAACAATCTTTGTTTTGCTCAGTAAAAGCCCCAGGTAATCCTGATTATTTCTATGTCTTCCAAGAAACCAGAATTTCACATGCAGACTGCACTGAAAACGAGACTAAAAAGATAAAATGAGCGGAGAGCAATTTTAATCTAGCCTAGACCATGGATTGTGTGTAATTTTGTGTTAACTACCTCTAAGAGGTGCTGGTGCTGTGAATGCAATCCTGGAAAAAGGTTCTAGTGTAAAAAGCAAGGCTATCCTCTATAAATATATTTCCGAGACCGGAAGGGGATTGGAGGAATATGAAGTACTGCAAATTGTTTGCTGTAAGAGTGCATAATGAGATAGAAAATTGAGAGTAGCACACTTCTCCCCTCTGGTTCACAGGCAGGAAGGCCCTCTGAATCTTACAACACACATATATACACACACCATGCGCAGTCTCCAGCTACTCCGACTCCAGGCTTGGCTGGTCCATCAACAGCCCAGCTGGAGGCGATTTTGGACATAAAGCTCCAATCCTACAGTAAAGTGAGCTGTGCATCGTCTAGCATCTACCACTGAAACGTGAGCAGTTTGTTTTCGAAATGTACAGGTTTCTTTGTTGACGTGTGGCACACAGCGCATTGTGTACAAGCCTGCATAGTGCTCGAACCCCTGGCCACACTGCCTTCCCAGGTATGAGGTCTGAACAGCGTGTTTTTTTTGTGGTTAGAGGTTAAAAAGCAGGTTCTTTTTTTTCTTTTTTCTTTTCTTAGAAATACCTAGACTCAAATCTTCTCCGTATGTACGCCTTGATATTTTTTTTTTACCCTTTTCCTGATTCTGGCCTCAGAGTGTGTGAGACAAGACACCCCCAGAGGCCTCAGGAAAGACCCAGGAATCAGTTAAAGCTATGAAATAAATGTGCACTACTTATCAAAGAGTTCTAGTTCACTTTACGAAAAAACACTAAAATCAGCTACTACAAGATTTGTTTTTTTTCTTTTTTCTTTTCCTGAACATGACCTTTGTTTCGTTGTTTAGTTAAAAAATAAGTGACTTAATGTTTTCTTTTTTCTTTTGACGTTTTAAACCAGCAAGTGTTATTTTTCAATGCCCCCCCTGCCCTCACCCTCCCACAAATATCTAGGAATCCAAACTAGCATGTTTAGAGTCGGCAGACTGTGCAATCTCTTAGTGGCAACCAAATACTTATAAAAACGATTTTTTTTCTTTTCCGTGGAAAAAAAAAAAGAAATGTAAAAAATTGTTTTTCTCCTCGAAGTAGTTCATAGTGTATTGGAAAAATCTGCAGCCATTAAATGGCCGCTTGTTGGACAGAGTTTAGGAGTGAGAAAGAGGAGAGGGGGTTTGCAGTCAGTCCCTGCCCCTTCCTAAACTCGCGCTTTTAAATGCTCCAGCATTTCTTCCGGACTTTCCTTCTTTTAATCTTCTTGCTGGGACCGAAGCATAAAATGGGAGGAAAAAATTAAGAACCCCAAAAACACACACACTCATACGCGCACACAGAGAAAAAGGCAAAAGTTGTAACAGTTATTCAGCTTGACAGTGTGAAAAAAACTCGCTGAGGAGACGTATTTAAAAACACTTTGAAGCGGCAGATGAATCTCTTGGGGGAAAAAAATAAATCAATTGCTTCCTTTGAGTGTTCATCCTTGAAACTGCACAATCTCCTGGGATGTTTAATGCTCCTTGGTGTCCGCAGTTTCTGGTATTCTTTTGCACCATTGGCCGATGGTGTTTGGGCCCTGTGGCCAGCAGGGCTAAGTGCTTTTTTTTACTTATTAAAAACCAGACAACAAAGTCTTCCAAACTACTCTCCCACCCTGACCCCTGAAAAAGAAAAGTCCAAAAGATCTGAGTTTTTTCTGCGCTTTTTTTTTTCCTTCCTCAGCTTCGCCCCGGCTGCAGGTGAAGTAAAACAAGAGCAGAGCCCAGCCGGCTTCAGAACTCCCACTCGGAGGGCTCCTCCCGGCTGGCGGCCTTCTCCAGGCGGTGGATGATGTTGTTGAGGTTGGCAGCTTTCTTCTTGCGCAGGCTGCTGTCCCTGGGGTTCCGGGAGGCAGCGGGAGCAGTCTCTGGGAAGCTGAACAGGCTGGCGATGGCGCCACCCTTGTGGCCGCTGGTTCCGGGCGCGCTAGAGGCTGAGGTAGTGGCGTCCTGCGGGGCAGGGGAGCGGGCGGGCGTCTCGGGGCCGCCTTCCTCCTTGAGGTCGGCCCCCTCTCCCTCCGAGGCTGGGCCCCCGTACTCCTCTGGTCCCTGCGCCCCTCCCGGACGGCCTTCCACTGTGCCGTCGGACTCCGTCCCGTCACAGCTGTCCCCCTCGCCCGCCTTGCCTAGCCGGGCCGACGGGGACCCCCCTTCGCTCGCCGCCCCCTGGTTCCCAGCCTGGATCTCCTCAATGAACAGCTCCCGGCGGATCCGTGACCTGGAACATGGGATTCAGAGAAAAAAAAAATTGCGTCATTATTAATCTGCAATGGGGGGAAACCGAACAAACTTCTACTTTTAGTGGACAGTAAAGTTCATCTGATCTACCAGGGGTCCCATGTCAAGCTGTGGTGGCAGACGGGGCCTGCGCTCTCACCTGTAATTGTGGAACCAGTTGATGACGGTGCTGGTCTTGAGGTTGAGCTGGCTGGCCAGCTCCTCGATGGTCTTGGGCGAGGGGTAGGGCTTCTGCTGGTAGGCGCGCTTGAGGGCCTCCTTCTCCTCGGGCGCCAGGACCACGCGAGGCTTCTTCAGCTGGTGCTGCTGGTGCTGGGGACTGCTCCCCTGGCTGAACTCCCCCCCGGCCAGGCCGCTGTCCGCCGGCTGGCTCTCGCTGACCGAGCTGTGGCGCCGCTTCATGTAGGCTGGGGAGACAAAGGACCTCCGCGTCACTCACAGCGCTCACAGACGGTCCCTCCACAAGACCCCGAGCAGAGCAGCTCGAGTCTCGTCTCAGCTCTTCGGATAAATCAGGAGCAAGGGAAGAGTGTTTGAATATTTCTATTACTTCAAGAAAGTTAACAGGAATGAACTGACCAGGTACTTAAAGAAAACAAGTGGAAAACGAGATGAGGCCCAGCTTGCTCAGGTCGCTACTAGCATCTTTATTCCAGGGTTAAAACTAACTTTATTACCCAGAGAGGTTTTATGAGTCTTAATGCAAACATTGCTAACTGTAGCCCAGTGAGTAACTTTTTGCTCAGGAGAAAGAACACAGGGTGCAACCACAGAGAGGTGGATTCAGGACTGAGAACAGGAGGCGTGTTTGTTTTCACAATAAGGGTGGTGGGTGTTTTGGAAAAAGCTTCCAAGCCACTCTGTTAAAGCTCATATCCTGGCTTTTTCAAAAACAAAACCTGGATAAAACCCATGAATCAATACTCTGCAAGCAACCAAGCAAACACAGAGCGTGTTGAACAGCCTTCTCTTGTTAGTAACATCCTTACACTCCTAATGATTCCTAAGACAATATGGAGTAACGCTGAAAAACCATGCGTAAGAAGACTCTTACTGCCATAAGTACTTCTTCGAAAGTAACCTGTTGTCAGACTCAGGGCTTTCCAGGTTAAGTCAGTCATTTAAGAAAATTTTTAAAACAGGACAGCACTTGTAAACTCGTGTGCTATTAATACCCGAATGTGAAAGAACATGCTTTTGGTATTTATAATACTGATCAGGAAGAGTCGTATTAGGAAAACAGGTTGTGTTCAGAACAGGGTGAGGATGGTCACCTTTGTTAGGGTCACTAAGTGCAATGCTCCCAACTTTCTGACAAAAGGATTCCCCACGACCCCATCCTATAGATCTGAAGCAGATGTGACTTTAAAGAAAGCACAGCGACTGCAATAACAGGATCCTCATAAACACTCTGTTCAGTACCTCAATTAAAAGCCAGTGAAGACATGCCAGCTGTGACAAATCACGTCCAGCATTTACCTTCCAAAAGGCAAGTTCAACATGTTCCTTGCAAATCCCTTTTGACTGCTGTTCTCATATCAGCACTATGAGACAAAAACCAAAGGATATCCAGTGCAGCCACCAGATGGCAGCCTAGTCTCATGTAATCCACTTTAAAACTAGGCAGTAAGAAGAATTTACTTCATCACTGCATAACCTGGCAATATGTTTTGCTTACGTACGTATTTAATTATCTTTGAAAGCTGTGCATAAGAGACACTTTATCAAGGAAAACCAGAGACGGGGAAAACGGATGCATACAATCCAGTTACACCACAGCTTAAATGCACAAATCTGAGGAACACAACAACACTAAATAGCTCCTTCAACAGGTTAAATTACCTTAATCCACGTGCACAACGCGTTATATTAGTGAAATGTTTCATGGTAAGATATGAATGATCAAATTAATTATACCAAAAACATTTAATCCATGCATCCATTTTCTAACTGCTTTATCCAACAGAGGGTTGTGGGGGAGCAGGAGCCTATCCCAGCAAGCCTTGGGAGCAAGGCAGGATACACTCAAGCTACAGTTTTCCCAGAAGCCAATTATACTATCAGTGTCCATGCAGACAGCACTCCAGCAATCGAACCCAGGACTCCAATGCTGCAAGACAGCAATGCTGACCAGTGTGCAACTGTTCCACTCAAAAACACTAAAAGTAATTTCCAAAATTTGTTATTTCTTATTTTCTCCCAAAAAAATCACAATTAGAAACAAATCACTTTATTGCTCCATGAATGGTATTATTTGAACACATCTATGCACATTTATTCAACATAAGGTAATGAGATTAATATATCCAGCACATGGTGCTGGCTTTTATTAATATCCTACAGCTGGTAGAGCCTGAAATACATCAAACTTCTGTCCTCTGGGAGTCTTTATTTCCCTGTATGAACCACAATTTTTATTTCCAAACTTCAAAAGCATTTTTCCCTAATCTTTTGAACAGAAAGTGGAACAAAGTGATGGAAAAGGGATACTTCCTTGGCAGAAAAGCCCCAAAACAAAGTTAAGCCACAATAAAAAGGTAAACTTGCTCAGACTTCTACTGGTCTCCATGCAAATCCAGTTTGAACACAAAACATTACACAGTATCGCCATCCATAAAAAAAGGATCTGATCGCTATTTTACAGAACAGGTCCCAGCAGTTTGCCTCAAACTCAGTCGACCCCCACTGATACTGGCTACTACATGCAAAAGGACCAGTAATGTCATTTTTACCCTGGGAGAAGTGTTAAACAAGCTTAATCACTCCAAGAATGTTCACTTGGCTTTTTGAAAAAAAAAATCATGAATGCATTCAACTTTAAATAACAAGGCCCTGGAGAGGCGCCAGCATGTCATATCTGATGAGAACATCGACATCTATCTCCCAGATCAATCTCGACAGCGGACAGGAAATGTCTCCTCCGCAAGTGAATCAGGAGATGCACAGTTTATCGGCAGCCCAGGGACAACACTGGCTCAGGGCTCAGAGTGTTTATGAAATAAAAGAGCAAGCAGAAAAGCCGTACTCATGCCCCTTTGATTCTAACTTTGCAGTTCATATCTACTGGTTCAAAACGCCACGGTCTAATAAATTGGGACAAATTAGGACACGGTCAAGCTCAAGGACTCGTGCTTTGGTAAGAACTAGTCTGCACATTTCTGGGTAAGCTATAAAAAATCTCTCAAGAAATATGCTGGAGATGGGCGTTTCTGCAGGTCGAGTCTGACTTGAACTCTCTCTTTTGCACTGAAAGAAAAAGCAGTTCTAATCAGGTTTCAAGGATGTAGCACAATTCTTTTAAGAAAGTGTCCCAGTTATGCTACTGTTCTAATGTGACTTGATTCTCCAAGCGGAAGTGAAGAGTCTTCTCACAGCTGGGGGTGTGCAATTCCCCCAGCTCCCAGAGGGGCACCTGTAACTTCTTCCCCAACACCTGGCAGCTTGCAGTGATCTCAGGGAGACATGTCTGCCCTCCACTCCTGCTGGCACTAAACCGCCTGCACTTGAAAACTAATGGCTCAAAGGAGGAGCAGGACAGCACTTCCTCCCTCTCCCCAAGGGGGGACAGGTGATGTCACTGTGAGCCGGAAAGCAAAGACTCTGACGATGCAAAACTGGGTGCGTTATTGAGGGTAACTATTTTATAGGCCGAAAACCTTTAAATCACCCATCATTCCACATTCAATCCACTTGTCCTTGAAGGACAGAAACGTGTCAGGTAATTGAGATCTGAAGAGACCACTTCTAAATTTAGAAATTGGACACAGTTCTTCTTTTCATGGAAATATTTCCTTTTTGTGGTATCCACCAGGCAAGAGAAGTCTCTGTTGCACTGTGATGCTTTTAAGGGTACCTGGGTCTTTATGGTCTAACACCAATTTAGAGAGCGGTTTGGTCTCGAGTACAGATTTGTCTTTCTTAGGAACGTCTTTACCCTTTTACCAGATTTGCATTATAATGAGAATTGACGATTCTAAATTAAAATAAAGAAAAACAAAACCAAAATAACTAAAATTCACATTTAAAATGCTATACATATTAAAATTGCAGTAATAAATCATCCCACTAGTCCACAAAGATTAACTACACATGATATTAAATCATAAAAGAGTTAGATTGCAATGTGTAGGATAATCCAGGGTGTAAAAAAGAGTTTCACCAGTGAAATACTTTCCACTTATCTGAAGATTTTCAGGAAGGATTCTCCAGTCCAGGAGGTCTGTTCCAACATCAAGAAGTAAGCAATGAGAGTCTTAAAAGATTAGGGCTAGGCTGTTGAGCGATCAGTGATTTTGGTGGAGTGTCTTAGTGCTGGAGACAATAATTCAAGTGCATTTTTACAGTGTATGAACACAAGTTCTGAACGCCATAATTACAACTGACATAGATCTGCACTGTGCGGCAACGCTTTGTTTAAACTGCGGACAGCCTCCCAGACCTCCAAACCTGCTGCAGGAATCTGTACCTCTGGCAGAGATGCTGTGTGGCTTCTCGTATCGCTCGCTGCAAACCGAGGAAAACCTACACTAACAATGTTCTGCCTCCAAACATAAGGAAACACGTTTGGCGCAGCCCAGCGTCGGGGGTCTCGTACCATCTGTCCAGTGACAACTACTGCACTGTTGCTCTTCTGAATTTACTGGGACGTATGTCTTGTGGAAGGGATCTCCGTTACCCACATAACCCAATCAGACAGGCTGCGGGAGGGTGCGAGCCAAACGCTGTCGAGAAGGGGGTGAACGCAGGGCCCTCTCCGAGGTGGGGAGGCGGCAGAGAGAGAGGGAGCCTGGGCGGGGCTGTGCCAGGCCCCAGTGACGGAGAAGAAGAGGAGGGAGCGAGCGAGCGGGCGGGCAGGGGGAGGAAGAGGACGAGAGGGAGTGTGTGGGGACTGGGGGTAGCTGATTACCTTTCTTCTCCATTCGCTTCATGTCCATAAGCTTCTCCACGTTTCGGGGGTCGCTGAGCCACAGCTGCATGCGTACAAAGGGCTCCCTCCCCTTCAGGCTGAGTTTGTGCCAGGGTTTTGGCCGGGCCAGGAGGTCTGAGACAGAGCCCTGGGTCAGGCCTAGGATGGTCTCCCCAAACAGCCGCTGCCCTGCAGAACACAAGCACAAAGAGATGGCAGGGCGTTAACCCAACACTCTCTGGCCACCCCTGGCTTCGGGAGCGGCCCAGTGTGTCAAAGGGCCCAGACTCTCGGGTGGCACTGTGTCGACAGGTGCGTTCTGGGAGAGGAGACGGAGGGAAGGGGGCACAATGGTGTTTCCTCTGCCACCCCCTCCCCACCAAAGAACAAAGAGCTGCCCCTGTGTGATGATTACTGACTCAGTAAGGGGTGGGGATGAGGCAACTTGCTGAGGAGGCTTTCAAAAGGCTGGAAAATAAATGAAATGCAGCGGCTTCTACTTTTTTTGTTCCACTAAGAGCTTTCGGCTGTCCATTAGGTGCATACAGTACAAGAGCAAACAATCTCCAGTTCTGAAAGGATTGAGGTTTGTTTCCTGGTACTTTACCCCCAGAAAACCCGAATGTAGTAAATGCAACTTCTTAACTTTAAGTGAGTCACAACAATAGATGCAGTCTATCACACTGTGCTAAAAAGTGCAGATAAAAAGAGTTGAAACTTAACACAAAATGATGGCTAGCTGTCCAGCATTCTGCTATCACATATGAGATGCTGGCTTCACTCCCAACGTCAGAGCCTGCAAAGCAGGCTGTTTTATGACCTCAGAAGCGACCTCGAGTCTCTATTACTTTACAGAATAAAGAAAAAAACGACCCAGAAAAAAAACCAAAAGCTACTATCTTGCAAGTCAGTAGAACAGCAGACACAGCTGGAACATTACCTCTGAATATGAACATGTTCTGTTTCGTTGCACTGAAACAACTATTACCGTCCACAGATAGTAAATTAGCAAGCCAAGGCAAGGCTAAAGATTAGAAGAGAATTTATTTGAACAGCAAAGCACAGACAAACCACCAGAGTGCTGTTCAAATCCACTCCCTGAGGGACATGGTCATAAGCCTCTTTAAGCCTCTGCCTACATAGGTAATCAGCTGAGTTAGTAAGTCAATTAACTAATTATGAGCTCAGCCCTACAGGACAAGATTTTGTCTTTTTTTTAATTTGGAATTACAGACTATTTTGTATTATATGGATCTCACAGATTCAATTTGGAATTACCAATTGTTTTGCTCCAGCAACAACCAAGACAAATAAGCTTTTACTTCACTGTTACCATGCTAAAAATATTGTGTGCCTCCATTTAAGAGGCATTGTGTACAATGTCCATTTAATGCAATCAATGTCAATCTTAAAGACATTTTAAGGAGCATTGTGTACAAGGCTTTCCAATGAAATACCACACACAATGCCCTCTGACTCACCTTGCTACTGAGCAAAAAGCTCAGATGATGGGCATTCAGCAATCTAGGAAAAAGCCTTAAGAGAGGCTGTATTCTGAGGGATGGATTAAAAAAACAAGCCTATAATTTAAGTAGAAACATCGCATCCATTCATTTTCTAACTGCTTGATCCAACTCAAGGACATGGAGAAGCCCGAGCCCAATCCGGCAAGCGACAGGCAGAACACCCTCTGGGTGGGACGCCAGTCCATCACAGAACACTCCAACAAAGACACGCACACATTCACCCAGCGTCAATTTCACAGAAGCCTATTAACCTACCAGTATGTTTTTGGACTGCTGGAGGAAGTCGGAGCACCCAGAACAAACCCACACGAACACAGGGAGAACATACAGACCACGCAGACAGCACCCCACCACTGTGAGGCATTAAAGCTAACCAGTGCACCACCGTGCTGCCCTTTATGGAGAAACATGCATATAAAAACTAAGAAATGTAACAACAGTATAAAGAAGACTGCAAAAATCGTTCTGGAAATTAACCACTCTAAAGGACAGGACACTGACTGGCTCTGAAAACTGGTCATGCTCAATCAAACAATATGGAGTCTGTTCTTTACAGCCTGGCAGCAGTGCTGAACTGTCGTGCTGCCCTAACTTGGCTGTACTGGAATCTGATCACACTGTACACATGCCTGTCATTTTCCCTCAATTCTGCAACATTACAGACGTTAGCCAGCCGTAAATTATCTAAATCTCTCAGACAGGCACGCTGACACAAAAAGAGGAGTGCACAGGTCAAATTTCATGGTTATCCAAACGCTTTATGGACATAAAAATGAGACAACAGTGGGTACTGGTAAAATGCTTTGTCCAGGACAGGGTGGTATAGGCTTTTATAAAACAAACAGTAACCACGAAGAGGACCTGCAGATTTATTTGTGTAAACAGACAGATGTACTATAAGCAATGAAGACAAATAAATGACTTCAGCTCTTAAAGTAAAATTAAGACGCTTAATAAGTTTGTTTTCTTAACAGCAGGTATCTTTAAAATTTCTGATATTATGATATTTACGGAAAGCTCCCTGTGTAAGCACTTTGCTATGTACGACTGCAAAGCGGTTAGAAAAAAAACGTCTTCTATGACTCACATTTCTAAAACAGAAGTACTAAATGATTACCAAACCTCACACTTCTTAAAAGACTGCAAGTCTTTGTCAACCAGTAAGCCAGGCCAGTATACAAGGCTGTTATATCCTTAAGGCTTCCTCTGACAACCGGGCAGATCATCATTAAATGACAACATCCGTCATTCCCAGTACATCAGAGGAGACAGCAGAGATAAGGTCTTTGATCAAAGACCCCTGGGATGAGGCAGGTAATAAAGACACCTCTGCTCATTTGTAATTTAATGGCAGAAGACTTACGATGCAGGTGGAACTTGGGGACTTTCATCATTTATAATGCAGACACACAGGCGAATTAGGCAAGATCTCGTTAGTGCAGCTTCTGAACAAGGGAGCGTAAGTAGAAGTCTCATTATAGCCAGTCAGTGACAAAAGCAAAGATCTCTTGTAAGTGGGACTGCAATAACACCAAGGACTAATGAGATCTCTGTTCATTAGGGTGAAATACACAAGCCATCGTGACAGTCGGGTGTACAGGGCTCCCCATTAATAATGGCAACACCAGTGACCGGGCAGTGAGGGCAGGCTTTCATGGAAATGCAGAGAAGCAATGTAACTTTAATAGTGACCCGGTGACACGGACTTGAACAGACCTCTCATCAGTCTTAGCAAGAAAAGAACTGACAACAGTCGTCTTTACTGCTATCATTGGCTCTAGCAGCTTGAGGACTGTTCTGGTCACATCTCAGCTCGGCAAGGCACAGACAAGTAAGAGCTGAGAGTGCCAGGGGGAACTGGGTTACTCCTGGAAGTGATGCATCTGGACCATCAGATCATCTCTCTGGCCCAGAAGCTGCAATCTGGCACCACAGCAGGGTAACAGAGGGACACTGTGTGGTAGGAGGTGGATGTTTTTAGATGCGAGGTTAAAGTCGTTTTCTCATAAGGATCTCAATAGGGTGGGGATGTAATTCTTGCTAATAACTTTGTTGCTGGGGTGAATGTTTGGAAGGAAAACTAGGTGAAGTCAAGGAATAACATTTCCCCGTGAACACTTACACAGCACACTCAAAGATGGTTTTACTTTTAAAACTCAGCACCTGCTCCCGACACCCAGCACTATCAGACATGATGAAGTGTTTTAAGAGGTTTTTAAAAAGCCAAACACTTGAAGCTGGCTCCCTGGTACCTTCAAGGAGAGGAGCGATGAAAATGTGGGACAGACAAGCTACTAATAACCAAATGAGCAAGACGGGCAGGACGGCCGCCTCTCCTTTATGACCTCTGCAATCCTCTACTGTCCGAATCCTCAGAGGGCTGTGAACTGGAACAGCAGTGTGTTGACCAGGGAGGGCCGGGACAGGGCACTCACCGAGGTTGTTGTCGGTCAGGACCTCCTTGACCTTCTTGGTGATGACGTATGTGTCCAGCTCTGGGGACATGGCCACCATCTCCTGGATGCTGAGTCCGGAGTGCCCTGGCGCGGGCAGGGGGGTGCCGGGCTGCGACTCGGAGGGCTCGTTGGGCTCTGGAGCAGGAGTCTGGGCGGCGGAGTCCCCCAGGCTCTTCACCGACTCCTCGGCAGAGCTCAGCGGCGACTCGGGGGCTGGGCTGCAGCTGGCCGAGGTTTTGGGGGTGCTCTCTGAGAAGACACACAGCAAAGTGTTAAGACACCAGGCTTGGCCGCTACAGAGGATTATGAAGTACAATGTGGGATTTGCTAAATCAGAACGTTATCTAAATATTTTCAAAAACTGAAACAAATTTGCACATCCTCAAAGGCAAGTCCTATATAAAAACCTGAGAGGAATGGGTTAAGAACAACTCATCTTCTTGAAAACATTGCCTGTACATCACCTTAAATACATTTAGTCATAGCAGCAGAAAAAATAATAGATAAATTGGAAAATTTAGTACCAGTCACTACAGCTGGGTGGGAGAAAGATCATAGAGAAATAAGACAGTCGACATTACATAGAACTACTGAGTATTTACAGCTGCAATTGATGCAAACTCCCACCTAACATTCAGTAATAAATATTCCTACACCACAGCATTGGAAAACCACAGCAATGACTCACAGTGATAAACTAAGCAGATGTCTGCTTCAGCTACATGCCATGAAAAAAACAAGCATCCCACCTAAAAGCACAGGATACAGGTTGCTATTGAAGCATTCATCAAACCCTCGACAACCCTGAAGAGAGGAGCAGACAAAGAAAACCCGTGCAGAGGCCAGAAGCTGAGGAAATCAACTGGAAACTGATTAAAGGAGGAGGAGGACACTTTACAAAAAGGCCTGAACTTTTTGGTGCGCAGTGATACACAGGAATCCTTCCGAGACAACGGAAGACCCTGAGAGACTGAGTGACTTCAGTGTACAACACAAATTAAAATAGCATTAGGCTTCCAGACCTGAGTCTTTCACTGCTTCAGAAAGTCACTCCCAACTCAACTGTATCCCTCTCCCATACCCCAATCCTGTCCCTGTGTTGAAACAGTATTCCCCACCTTGACTTGCAGGATTCTATGGATTTTCAGATTTCTGGACTCTGACTCATGTTTCTAAAGCAGATCTCAACTAATGTTGGTGGCTGATTTCTATCACATGCTCTCACACAGAGAGTAGGCACCTTGGGTTGGGGACATTTTACTCACAGAAGACAGTCCTCTCCATGCAAACACAGGTACTGAGTCTCAATGCCGCAACCAAAGCAGAAGTCGGCTCCCTGGTTTTCCATGCTGCCCTGACAAACCCTCTGCTCTCTTGCTATTTTTATTACAAGCAAGGGGGAAAAGATTATGCTGAGAAGGTGCCCCCGTCCAGCCCAAATGGCAGAGCCACTTGGCAGATCATCCATCTTGTTCACGGAGAACTGTCAGGGACGCCAGGGTGATGGAGCCCTGGGCGGCATCCTTTAACCTGCACCAAGGTCACTCCACCAGCTCGAGGAGGAGAGAGAGCGGGGAGGGGGCGGCGTTAGGCGCTCTCCGGCATCTACAGACTGGCTCCAGCAGGGAATCGACCATCTCCCCCCCATTCTCACTGAAGCACCAAAGGTTATTACAGTCCAGACCAGCTGCTCTCAGCAGAACCGGCTGCTGTTGGTGGTCCTTTCCTGACTTGCTGCACATGGAATAGTACCAGCTGATCTCCCTTTCATTTAAAAAAAAAACAGCCTTGCCAAATATGCTGCTTTCTTTTTATAGCTTCCAATTTGGAACTGGCAAAGAAAATACACAGAGGACACGTGTCCACTAAAACTACCGCATGGACCCTGAGCGAACCCTGGCTCACTTGAAACCCACCACTTAACCCCCAATGAGGCTCAGAAAATCCCAGTACCAGCTGTCTAATAACACAGCCCAGATTCAAACCAGCAATCTCTGGGCCACAAGGCCCAACCTGTGTTCAGCAGAGACATTTACTGGTCGAGACTCCTTTTAATCCTAAGTAGAGCTGTTTCCCACCTTTTGATAAAACAGCTAAACACCTAATAAATAAAGCTAATCCAGAGAAAATAGGGAATTCCACACCCTTCCTGCTTTTCATCCCAACATTTGAGCTGCAAAAAAGCCAAAAGAGCCAAAGCACATTATCAGCCATGTTTTTACTCACTGGCTAATCTTCAGAACGAGTATGCTTTTTATTGAAAAATCCCACTGATAAGTCTTCTGGAAAACAACTTATCAGACCTTAAATTTCACTAAAGACAACTGCAGACAGAGCCTTACTATAGTGCAGTCAGGGGTTTTATCACAAAAGCCTTTGTCAGGAGTTTGTGATAAAGATGTCTCAAGATCTTTATGGTATCATAAACCCAGCTGACAGATTTAGATGTACGCCATGGTAATTAATAGCTACTGTATTATAGTGCACTCCAACACACAATGCAGTGAAGTGAATTTCCCTACTGTTCTGTATGCTGCTTGCTTCCAATCATTGAAGGGCTCATTACAGGGCTGCTTCACTGATTCTGGATGTTCCTCTCCCTAATATAGTTCAGTCCTTAGTCTCATCACATCCATGATTTATATTCCCTCCCACTTTCAGGGTCACTAAGTTACAGAGCACAGAAGTGCAAACGTCTAATGGACCATGTTACAGCAGGGTTCGGCCTACAGATGAAAGACCAGCAGCTGATCACCAGGGGTCACTGGTGCACAACACAGCCGATACCCCAGCTGGTTTAAACTACCCCCATCCCTGGCAGCTGTGTGCCGCATCTAGGAGAATCTTGGTCACTGAGAGCTCAGGGCAAAGCATGGGAAGCAGCCATGTCTGGAGCAGAGGTTAACCTTCACTCCCAGTAAAACTGTCCTCGCATGGTGATAATGACTTCTCAAGCTTCTTGAACGCGGCTGCTAATTTTGACAACCTTCCGGACTCCAATGAAACGTTAACACCACAGCTTTCAAACAGATGTAACTTGGGTGTTCGTTACCATTTCCTTAACACCTCTAAATCAAAGCGTTTTTACCCAGATGCAAATCACTGTTTCTATGTGAAACAGCTCAAGTTATAAAAGGACAAAATTACCTTCTTTTGTTTTTAATAACTGGGCAATTACTCAGAAAGGGAAGGCACAGCGGGTGCGATGTTAAGTGCTGAGACGTGCTGCTGTTTAGTTAATCAGTAAAGATTCAATTGGCAATTTCTTCTCCTCCTGTAACTGAACAGCATCCCCACTTACAAAAGCTCCTCCACTACTTCCACCACTTAACCTTCGTAAACAAGAGCCTCACAATGAGCATCAATCATCCAGAACTTCCGTCTCTTCCCTGTGAATTCAGTGTGTCCTGAAGAAAAACTACTCCAGCAGAAACATGGAGAAATAACTTTGCCAGGCCGAGCGTCCTTTAATGTCAAGACTGGTTTACTCTGCATATCAATCCTTCTAGTAAAACGCACCTCAGCCCAGTGCACAGTACGTGAACATCACGGCTCCCAGGGTTTTTGTCAAGGTAAAAATATGGAAATACTGAAGTGATTTAAGGAGCCATTTAAATAAATATAAAAGCAAATGGGCATGGCCAGATTTACTGGATTCTCTCATAAAGCTTGCAGCTGTGGTGTGTACAAGTCAGATTCAGGACTCAGGGGTGCGTCTAACTTTGCTTTCTGCCTAGCCAGCTCCGTGAGCTCCAACACTGACTGCAGTGCAATTCTGGGACCAGTCAGGCCCTTTGCTTCCAACGCAAGCTCAGCTCACAGTTCCAGTCATGTGCTCATAACCCTCAAATGATATGGAAGAAAAACCACCACCACCAGCAGCAAATGAAGAAAAAGGGACAATATTTTCCTAAACGAAGGCGCTCTGTCCCTGCCAGCCTGCCGCCGCAGCCCCAGAGTGAGCGGTCAGAGGCAGCCGTCACTTGTGATTATCTGCCTGCTGCGTCCGGGGGGGAACAGCTGGGAGGGAGGCAGTCAGCTTGCATCTTCAGCAAGGGGCGACGCGCCGGCTGGTGACATTCTTACTGGCGGCGGGGCAGGAGGCGCGAGCACAGCAGCAGAAGAGACAGGTTGCCCCGTGACACAGTGCCAGCGACCCAGAGCTCCGCAATTCACAAGGCCGCTCCAGGCAGAGGGGGGCGGAGGAGCCTGAGAGAGAGCAATCTCATGGCAACAGCGGCAAGGCAGAGGAGAGAGCACGGGCTGCGCCGAAAATAATGCAGCAACTTGTGACCTGGCTGGCAGTGCTGGAAGAATGACTCCAGAAACAAAGGAGGGCGGCACGTTCACAAGACAGAAACACGCTCTGGTATAAACACCGTGTTTAACATTTAACATCATGTGTTGTTTTATAACCATGTATTCTCTCTTTGTGAGCCTCAGTTTTCTGTTTTATATGGTACTTTCATCTAACGAAGATAAAGATAAGACCCTTTACCACTAGCCATAAAAACAAGCCGAACAGAAAAAACTACATCCACAATATCAGGATGATGCAATTAGTAAACGAGCTGGTAGTGGTCCATGCTCGACAATGGAGCTACAGCTCTGTTAACTATTTCACCACTAGGCACCTGGTTTGACAACAGGGGGCGCACAGCACACGCAGAAAAGGCCTGCTAATGCAACCAGACAGCTGGCGGAGAGAGTGTTGTGGATAGCCTGCAATGATCTTCCAACATACTTAACATATTAAGTCACTAATGAAATGAGCAGTTTCAAACGAGCATGATTATCTCGTTAAGGCTTTATCAAACTGTTTAATTCCTGATGGATTCCACATGAGCTATAACTGTCTATGTTCACCTCCCTTGGCTCAAATTAAAGGAGTGGTTTTGGAAACATGTTAAACTCTTGCAACTGAGTGACAGAGAAGAAATAAAAGAAACGCGCTGCTCCAGCAGACTGTGGAGCCCAGCTCCTGACCAAGATGCACCAAGTGTAAACAGGCTGGGAGGTGCTCTTTTGGACTTGGGCTTGGAAACGCTGATTGGTTTCTGTCTTCTGTCTCGTTTCTCACACCAGTATGCTTTTCAGAGAGCTTTGACTATTTCTCTGAAAAATCTAGGAAAAATGAAGCTGCCCTTTACGTTTTTTTTTATTAAAAGCTGTCACCTCAAGGCACAACACCTAACACCTAGCAGGGTATGCTTGGCATTCACGAGGAACGGCATCCACAATGCAATCAGACATTGTGAGGGGGCAGCGCCATCTCTTTGCACATTAAACACGCCCCCCGGGGGGCCTCTGCCTCCCCGGATGTCCCTGTGGTGGCTTGTTCCAGTCTCTGGCGCGATAGCAGCGAAGCAGGGGCCAGCCGCGGCGCGCTTCCTGCACTCCTGGATTACTGGCGAGCACGGAGGCACGGGACAGGACTGTTCGGAACGGGACAGCTGCTCTCCCAGCACCTGGCCCTCCAGAGATCATCCCCCTGGAGCAGGGGTTATCCTTCAGGCCAGTTCTACAAGAGCTGGCCGTAAAATACCCGCAAGAACGTATACTCCTGATCTGAAAACATAAAGGCAATGAACGAAATTACCCTTAGCAGAAGAGCTGCAATGTGTTTCCTGACATCAAAGTTTCACAGAAACACAAGAAGAGAACATAATGCATGCAAAAAAGGCCCCTCAGACATCAGAAAATGAAGAATATAACATTATATACCTTCTCAATTATTTTTTTTTGACTGCTCTGAGTGTGCCTTGGACTGCGAATCTGAATCATTTGCAATGCCAGAAATGTATTACAGGACTATAAAGCTGCTCCATTACCACAGCCCAAGAGATAATCTTGCAAATGGGTCAAATGACAGCTATTACTTAAAACAATATTTGGCCTTCTCCTAGTTAAATTTGTGTTTTGAGCGTATTTCATGTTTAAATACCCTGCTTTATTGTGCCATTCGAACACCAGATGTAAACTGGTCTGCAGAGCTAATGAGAGCAGCGCATTAAAACCATCACAAGAACATGATGTCCTTTTAAACTCTCCCCAGCCCCGGATTAAACAAGCCGACATTTACACTTCTTCTTAAGCTGCGGACCCATTTTAAAAGCCATTAATTCCTATCCTCCTTTTCTGTTAAGCCATCCTCTTAATCTATATATTGCTTCGCCTAATTTGCGATAAAAATTATTGAGAGTGGGTACTTAATATAGGACAGGGAGTAAAAGCCATTCATCACGCACGTGGCCCAGCGCTTCTGTTGCAGGCGCGCTCCCTATTCCGTATTCATCATGGGATCGGACGATTATTTGCATATTAATCAGGCAGCGGTGCGTGAGCAGGGAGGCCGAATGCAGGCGCTGTCCAGGGAAGGGAGCTCAGAAACGATCATACATCAGCGTTATGATGCGGTAATTGATTGTAACAGCTCTGGGAAGGCCCTAGGGGAGATCCCAGCGCCGCCTCCTCCCTCCAGCCTCCTTCCTCCCTGCTCCCCTCTCAGCACAAGGCCCCAGGGCCTTGCACCGTTCGCAAGCAGCCTGCACCGCAATCCTCATTCTTCTTATATTTATTCATCAAAGGCCTGCTGGGCCATTGGCTTCCAGCTTTATTACAAACCTGTGCTTAGATGCAGGGACAAAATTATTGTTTTTTCTTTAAACATCTATTCAAAATAAAAAGTGAAAGGACAAATGAACAACAGCCTTAACCTCTCTGCACACGGCCCCAACTCTGTCGCCTGGGTCCAGCCAGGTTGTTTTTATCCTTTGTGATACCCACACTCAGAGCAGGAGGGGTTTTGTGTGTGCGTGGCGATGTCTGGGCAAGCCTGAAGCCTGGACTGTCGTGCCAGCTGTGCCCTGTCCCTCAGCAAGGCGGAGCTGAGATTGGGAGATAAGGCTCCCAGCCCTCTCCCGTGAACTGGGTCTGAGCTCCGCATGTGAGAAGTGCCCATGTCCACATTCCAAGGCCGAGACTGTTCTTCTCTGTCCGACTGAACCAGGGCTCTGCAGTCCTGCTCCTCAACAACCCAAACTATAGCTTTTTTCAGCTTTCTAACTGAGCCACTACTTGGCTTAATGGCTCTCTGATGTCAGCTTCCTGATAACCAAGAATACAAACTGGACAAGTAGTTCAAAATTTCCAAACTTTCCAAAGCTAATTAAAACAGGATTCAACAGGTCTGACTGAGGATAACACTGGGGAAAAAAAGAGAAGGCCCCTGACTCCCCCTATCCTAAAACCGCCCGTCAGCAAAGCCCCCCTGATCCCCATCTTCCAGCTGCTCCACAACAAACCCCTCTCACCCCCCTTGTCCTATAAAGATCAGGACAGAGCCCCACGTCTTCGAAAGTTCCTATGCCAGCCCTTTGTTCACCACAGTCAGCTGGGCAACCTGACTGACTGCGAGCCAGCAGTGAGCAAGCAAGCACACGTTACAGATGGAGGTTAACACACAGTTGATTCTGATCTATAAGGGCAGCGATCTGGAGCTCCAGCCAGACACTCTCTAAGGAATGCACACCATTCCCACCTCGGCCATGTGTCACCGAGGAGTCAACCAGGAACCTCCTCCCCTCCTGCTCTCGTCTTTCCCTCTTCAATAAATTACACAGCACAGGGCTCCATTCTCACATTCACAAACACAGTCTGAGGCCTGAATCCGAGACAACAAAGACCAGATCCACTCAGTCTCAGCGTGCCCCTGACCTAATTGGATCATTACAATTACCCATCATTGCTCAATGTCACTAAAGGGTTCCATGCAGCTGTAACGTTCTGAAGGAATCATAGCAATGTGTGGCGAGATCTCCGTTTTACACAAAATACACACTACAATGGTCTTAATGTGATGTGCTGCAGATATCTTCGTGCTCACACTGCATTGTACTGTTCTTAAACCTGTCTGCCGTCAATCAAGGTGTCCGTGTCTCTATCCCTGAGGTTGTACACTCCTCTCTAGATCATTCAATTCAGCTAATGAAGCCCAGTAATTCAGCCAATAAAATTAACACTGCCTTCCGTAAAGAAATAACAGTAACAAGACAAGACCATTTTTTTCAATGAGGGCTTGCATTTAAACACACATACAGTACCATTATAAGTGTGAAATGTCCTCTAGCTACAGTACAATAAAAACAAGCAAATGCACAGTGACAATGTACTGCTTAGAGTTACTCTAAACAGGAATAATGAACACCAGTGATCTATAACACTTGGCAAGGATCGATAAAACAACCCAAAATGAATCTCATCCCCGAGAGTCCTGACACACAAGCCTAAACCCTGCGTGTCCCAGACGGGGCTTTCTTCTGCTTCAGACTTCTAGAGATGCAATTTCTTGCACATTATAACACTGAACTACACTGAACCAGCTCCCCACAAAAACATTAACAGGACATGGAATTGCTGTATGAAATCTAGTGTGATGATACTAGAAAACAGCAGTGGAAATGCAAAACCAGTGCTGCATTCTGTACAGACAACCTGAAAAGCTAATAACACAGACATGTAGATATGCCAGATCTTTTCACTTCATTTTTGAGGCTCTCTTTTAATGGCAGTATTATTTATTCACCATCTTAAAAAAAGGTCAGAAATGCAGAAAGTGATCATAAAGGTATGAGCATGTTCAGATACAGACTTGAAAACTACCTGAAATCGGATTCAACACAGTAGAACTAGTAGGAAAATAGAAGCGCCGACTGGAAGGGTCAGGAAAACAATGAGAAGACAATGAGACAATGAGAGTGTTTCCCAGCCAAGGGGAGCATCTCTCTCTCTGGCTCATTATCTGAACACACTGAAGCAACAAGGCGAAGTATGGAAGTATGGAGTGTGGAAGGCTGGGACATGGCCCCCTGCTCCTCTGTTGGCCAGACGCCCACAGGGGACAGCTGGACACTGGGAACACTCTCTCGCACAAGCTCTGGGAATCCCCAGCACACTGCAGACAGCCAGAGCACCACCCCTTCAGAAAACTGGTGGAAAGAGTGGAAACTGGGCACTAAGGCCAAAAAGCATCCAGCTGGCAGATATGGACTGCTGAGGATACACAGAGGCCTTCAGTGTACTGCCAGGTTCCTACTCAATGGCATGAAAACTCACATGAAGCAAGAAGCCCTGGCATGAATGCATGACATGTGGGAGAATCAAGACAGCATGCTAAGAGTCATGCCCCAGGCGCTTGAACCTGGCTCTCGGTGGCCCTTCAGGAAAAGGCTACTGTAGGTAAAAGCCTTGCATTGATTAGTTACTAAGCAACCGGATAATCAAGATGGACAAAATGGTTCACTGCTACAAACGGCACGGTGTCTTTTGCATAATACAGTACAACTCACAGGTCAGTATAGCCTGGGTGGGTCCCAACCTGGCCTACCCAATGGCACTCAAGACAAACATGTGCGACGTTTAGGGACTCCATTTCACTGGTTCCAACAGCCTGCCTCTGGAAAAGTGAAGCTGCAGACACGACAGTTTTGCCGGTGCAGCCCGGTCAGGCCTACCTTGCGGCTGGCCCTGCAGAGGAAGCACGTTCTGGCCCAGCTCCCCGTTCAGCCACAGCTGCATGCGGATGAAGGGCTCGCGGCCCTTCTGGGTCAGCTTGCTCCAGGGCTTGGGCCGGGACAGCATGTCGCTCACACTCCCCTGAGAGAGGCCCAGCACCTGCGGGGAACAGGACAGCAGACGGGGGCGTCACTCGCCGGGGACACAGCCACTTGGGGAACCACACAGACTGAGAGACTGACAGAGAGCTCTGTCCAACACACACTCGCTAGAAGAGCTTGATGATTTTGTGAATTATCCATTTATATTACTTTATAGCTGCAAAGGAACTACAAAAGTGTGTAAATTAATGAGAATTGCACCTGGGGTTTGTGCATACCTTAGCTGCAGAACTGAATTATCTTGCTTAAACCAATTCAAAACTGCCCTTATTGCATTCCATGCAGTACACAGTGGTCACATCTGAAAACCACGGGCACATGTTGACATGCAAGGACTGACATGCACACAACACAAAGTTCTCCTTGTGAATCCACTTTGATTTGAACTTCATTTACTCAAGCTGGGAAACAAGCTTGTCAGTCACTTTGTACATGGGAAGACTGAAGCAACATGAAGAACAGAGTGGTCTGCTGCCCAGACACAGCCTTTAGAACAGAGATGACATCGAGTCTGGTGTGAGTAAAACTATTCTAGACTGAAAAATCTCTTCCACTATGCTGACCCTGTAGTTGTGCCTGTAAATTATCTAAGCTATGAAAATCCTTGTGCTGTCCTTCCCCACAACTGTAGAACTTCAAGGTTGAGTTCACTTCATTGGCATGACTGCATTTGACTTTCTTACACCATCGAACACTTCGATGTCTTAGAAAATGCTTCTTAATAGATTTGATGGATTCTAACCAAGCCAACATAAAGATGGCAAAATGAATCCTTGAAGCCTGGGAAAGCTTGGTTGCCGGTCTGATTTCACGAAAGACCTTTCTTATCTTATTAAAATGGGTCCCGGGCTGCAAAGCAGAGTCCTAGACACCGTGAGGTGGAACACTTCCAGCAAACAATATCCCAGTTGTTGATTTTGGCTAGGGATGAAGGGCGAAAAGACTTCTTTGGGATGCAGAGGGAGGAGATGGCCAGGGGTTCGGGTGTTTCTCCACATCGCTGAACCGCACAGAGCGATTCGGCCTGGATCATCTTGGGCTGAACACCTCATGAAAACCACGAGCTTAAGGGCTGGAGTGTAAAGAGGAGCCGATCCTGACGGTGGCGCCAGTAAACATGTGCCGACCTCCGCTCCGCTCACTGGCAGTGGGCACGGATGAATTCACACGCTTATGTTCGCAAGGGAGGGGTAGCTGTGGGGGGGTTAGAGAGTGACACACATTGCGATGCCCGCCGACCTTTTCTCCAAAGATGCGCTGACAGATGCCGTTCTTGGCCAGCTTCTCCTTGACCTGGCGCGTGAGCTCGATGGTGTCCACCTCCTGGTACATGTAGAACTCGTACTGCTCGGGGGTGAGTGGGGGCACCACCGGCTTGGCGGGCTTGGCCTGGGGCAGCAGCGGCGAGGAGGGCAGGGGGCTGCTCTGGGGGGTCTCACTGCGGCTGGGGCCCTGCATGCTCAGCTCCGAGCCCTGCGAGTACGGAGACTCGGCGCTCGGCCAGTCCTTCCAGTAGTCCGAGGAGGAGGTGGGGGCGGCTGAGGAGCCGGCCGACCGGGGAGGCTTCTAGCACACAGAGACACAGAGAGGCACAGTCAATCACACGCTGTACAACTGGGGCTGCTGGACAGATCCATCTACACATCTCAGCTGTAATAATAACAACGAGAATGATAACTGATCGTTAAGCAGATGCTGTGATCCCAATTGCAAAATCCAGACGGGAATTAGGGATTTGGGAGATGAACTGGAGCTTTGACATCTGCCGCCGCAGAGTGACTGGGAGAACAGGACCTCGACGTGACTTCACCTGAAGAACAGCGCATAAGGAGACTCAGCATCTTACTAAGGAGACGGCGAGTCAGTGGAAAAGCTGGAGCTTGCACCTCCTGATAACAAGCCCTTTCCCTTACTCACTGGACCACCCCTTAGCCCTTTCGCAGATGTATAAATTATCGCTGTGCCTGCCTGTGCAGAGTTTCATCACAGCGCTGGTCCTGGGTGGGTTGCACTCTAGATAAGAACAGATAGTAAAAGCATCTGAATATCAGAGTGAGACATCAGGCAGGCAGACAGACTGCAGCACTGTCTTTACAAACAGGTACTGGGTGTTGAAACCCGATCCTCTCGGAGCGGAATCACTCCTGGTTCTGATTTTCTTTCACAGCCGGAGCGGAAGACATGGTTGTGACAGGGTGGCCGAGCAGGAGGGGGTGTGGGAGGTCTTCACCATGAGGCTATCCTGGATGTCATGTGCTGGCTCAGCCTGCTCTGCTGGCCAGGGTGTCCTCTTCCATTTCTGCCTTAAGCGTTCGATCGTTTTTGACGGTTTAAGAAGGAAAAACAAAATCATCCTATGTCTGAGTCTACAAGGACAGAGATCTTCACAACACTATGGACTTCTTGTGTATTCAACTTCGCGGAGAGATGAGAAATTTAGACAAGGCTGGGAAAGCTGGAATGAACACAGCAGCCGCCGCTTTCCGCACAAGAACGTCACTCACCACCCTACCCAGCCAAGTTCCTACTGTCAAGAAGTCCAAGTCTCAGAAGTACAGACCCCGGCTCCCAGGGGGGGAAACTGAGCTGTACCAGATGAAAACCCCGAGTACAGTGAAAGTGGAAGGGTGTTCCTCCTGGAGACCCCTCAGTCAAGGTGACATAAAAGCAGTACTCACTTTCACCCGCGAGTGGTATCTTGGGCATCGCTGCTTGGATTTTAAAAGACTACTGCCTTAATTATAGCACGCTGCACAATGCACAATGCAAGACGGCACACTAACAACCTAAATTCCCAGACTGAGGTCAGAAGCTACAAATTTCAATATGGGGTCTTGAACTCCAGTCTGGGATAAAATAAGGGAATTTGTGGAAAAATAATTTTGACACACAAGACCCCATACACATCTACAAACTACCTCAGCTATTTAAGCAAACACATTGACTAAGATACTCCAGTTCATGCCTTTATACAACTAACCTGTTTCATCAAAACAAATGCATGTTAAACAGCTGTTGTGTTCTTTAGCCCTCTTAGAAGTACTGAACAGCCACAGCGGGGCCTTTTGCGATCTCAGTTTTCTGTGGTGTGGTGCACGAGTGGTTCAACGCCGACCAGCTGCAGAGCCCAGAGCCTTTAACGGCGCCTGGGGTCCGAGCGCAGAGGCGGGGGGCTTGCCGCCCGGCGCGCTGTTACCTCCTTGCTGTCCTCCTGGCTGCGGCTGTCCTCGGCCCCCGGGGTGGGCGCCCCGCGCCGCTCCGAGTGCACGGTGTTCCACCACTGCTCTCGCCAGGGAACCCCGCCCCGAGCGCCCTCGGCGGTGCGGCCCGGCTTGGAGCCCCCGTCGGCCGCGCCCTGCACCTCCGGGATGGGCGACTCGCCGCTCTCCTTCTTCATGGCGGAGGAGTGGAAGTCGAGGAGCGCGGAGGAGGCGGAGACGGGGGGCTTCTTCAGCGACAGAGCCAGGGGAGAGAAGCCTTGGATGGCGGTCAAGGAGTGAGAGGCCAGCAGCTTGGGAGACAGCAGGGAGAGCTCCGACTGGGAGAGAGAGCTGGCCTTGAGGACCGGCTCCAGGGCCACCTGCTGGGCCTCCATCTCTCGGCGGGCCTGTTCCAGGATGGAGCGGATAGCCTCATCCGAGCTGCTGCCGCTGCCCCCCGGCACCCCGCTGGAGTTTTGAGGGGGGGGGGGCTCTGCTGCAGAGGAAGGAGAGGGGTCTGTCAGTCAGTCATGCCACCTACTGCCTAAGAGCTCACCAGAGTGCTGGTCAAACTGCGATGACACAGGTATCAGTCACCCTGTAGAGTGAGACGCCAATTCCTCTAACTGCTGCAAGGTTTCCCAGAATGCACAAAAATGAGCGATAAACACTCTTCTTCCACACTAATACGGACATCCAGATATGCTTCTAAATATGAACTAAACACTGTACTCTCAGTGTCAAAGACTTCCATGTGCCAGCAGGTGACAGGTGATCAGGACATCGAGTACCCCAGCAGCTGATTCAGTCTGCGCAGTGTTTAAGGTAGCTCAGCCCTATGTGCATGTTACTAGTACTGGACTTTCTTTCTTGACCTTTTCCATGAACAAATTGTAATCGCAGGAACACTCTTTTTGTTATTATGCTAAACTAAATGTTCTTAAAATGTTTCACTACTCTTTATTAAGACCAGACACCATGGCTAGTAACATTCTTACAAAACACTAGCCTGAATCTGATGACTTGCAGATTTCACCAGCATCGTATAAGAATTTAGTTACTTCAGGCTCTGACATTCTTTATTGACGTCAGTGAAGTATTTAATAATTAGACCCTAAAAGTAACTCAATAGGAACTGAAAGTCTGCCCATTTACACACAATAGTAAGTATTAAATCTGACTCCTGCAGCAGTGCTGTAATTGAGATGGTCCAATAGAAGTGGGATAGTTGCCTCACATATTGTACAGTGGTTAACTGTCATCAGATCAGAACATTTTAAGGAACAGTGGAGTGAAAACTAAATACTTTTGTTGAGGTAAATCACAAAATGTGGTCTATGGTGTCAATCTACCATATTGCATAAAGGCTCAAATGCGTTCAGATCTGTGTGTCTATCACCTTTCACAATGCTAGCCTTAAGTATAGGAAACCGGGCCTGTCCAACATTTTTGTATGTGACCTTAAGCATGCTGGGATGTCATCTTCTCAGTTAAGGCGTGAGCCATGCCTGTGTGGAAAGGACAGAGCAAGCTTCCCCGGCTTTCTATAAACTTGGTGTCCCTCATTTACCCAGGTGTTTCCATTTATTTGCCCACTATATGTACTGCCTGAGAAGTCCGATATCTAGAACACAGGCAGCAGAGTGTTGTAGTGCAATGTGATCATACTGTTTAAGGAGCTGCCCAATAATTCGTCAGGGTTCAAAGCATCAGTGCATGGGATGAACGTAACCGATTTGACGCTCGTGAGGGATAAAAGACACGGGTGCCAGGCTCCTCACCTGCTTTCTGCACCTGCAGCTCCCTCTTGGCCTGCTCTAGGATGGACTTGATGGCTTCGTCGGAGCCGCTCTCCGGGGTCCTGATCCTAGTGGTGATGTTGCCTGAGGAGAGATGAGCCCAGTTAGAGCCCAGCTGGAGGTGGGGGTGAAGGGGTGGCTGTCTCTGAGAGGGATCCTCTCCGCTGGTCCAAAAGCGCACAGACTACGTCGGGTGTCAGAGAAGGAGATCTAGCGGAACAGCCGCTGTGGGATTTAGCATTATTCTCAAGCATTATAAATTCATGTGCAAGACCATGTTCAAGCTAAAGTAGTAATGGCCAAGGGAATTTGAGAGGAAAAATAATTTCACAATGACTTTGAAGCTCCTTCATGATTTCCATGTGTAGAACCACATTAAAAAAAGTTCACCTCGCATAAATGCCAAGTCGCTACTTCAATAAGGCTGTCAGACTTGCCCAACAGAGTCTACTCATGTCCTGAGGGTCAAATGAGAGAAGCAAGCTTTTCTATGAGCAAGACCTTATTAATACTATTCCACGGTTAAGTACCAAACTGCTCCTTAAATAATCACACATGGCAGGCTGTGAGACTTACAGTCGAGGCAGGAGCACTGACCATGGTAGACAACAGCACTGACTGTCTATCACTTTAACTCCTGTGATATACTGTAGCACACAGGCCCATAGGAGTTAATCAGTCAGGATTATGCCTGAGACGTGGCTCATTAATAAGACAAAAGTCTGGATAGGTTCCTCAGAGAAATTGTTAATTAATGAAGTTTGAAATGAGCTGAATTAATAAGTCTGATTATCCCAGGGAAAAGTTTAGGAGAGAAATCAGTATTTTGACTAAAGCCATACAAAACAGCGGGGAAACAATTCAGGAACTATTTTGTTTGACTAGTGTAACTGTACAAGGTCATATTCACTCAAGTGCATGGACACATCACGAGGTCAGAGGGGTGACCTGGAAGTAATTCTGAACATCAGATAAGGGGTCAGTTGTCTCCCCAAGCTTCTCCTGGAGTAACCACAGAACAGGAGGTTTGCTCAATGATAAATGGGCCGCATTAATAAACAATATTCATGTCTAGAGTAAATTTTGTCTGGGAGAGAATATTTAAGAATCATCCAAAAGCTTTCTGGCTAACATTACAGTGTAGAAGGATGACATCACAGCAAAATGCTGAAGACATTTTTCAAAAAACCCACATGGAATTTCTAGTGATCTCTATACATTTCCAAGTACAACTAAAATACAAACAATCTGCTTTATTGTCACCTTGTCATAGTTATTGTCTGCCAGGGCTTCGGTTGAACCAAATCCTGCACAAACAGCCAAAATGTGATTTCACAGTGTCTCCCGTCAATGGCGCATTTAGATCAACTACATAAACTTTTTTGATTCAAAACTGTAAAGGTCAAGCTGAATGCATTTTACGTGAAGCAAGCTGATTGTCAGCAAAATGTGCAAAGAAAACATAAAATGTGGAATTTACTGACTGCCTGCGTTTAGCTCCCAGAGTCAGCAATTGGTGGCAGCACCTATGACAGCGGCTCCTACTGAGAGTTTTTGGACAAGTGTTCCTCATCTCACTGTGTAAAACTGGTAGAGATCTTTCCACTCAAAACTGACAAATTACCCAGCTGCTCCCATCTCAGACCTTGATCTCCATAAATTATTCCAAGTCACTGTTAGCATCCCTAACATCTCTGTGACACATTCCACTTGTTAATGATAGGATCACCACCACATGTAAATGTGCTGTAACACATTGTACTCAAAGGGATAATCAGAGACTTTGAAATCTTCTTGTAACCTTCTCCTGATCTGTGCTTCTCTACAACTTTATCCCCAAATGGTTTCAAAAACTCCTTTATCTTCAAGGTTGGTTTGTCATATCATTATGTGAGTTGTGGCCTGAAACTCAATAGCGAAATGAGGGAATTTACAGAGACAGGTTTACTTTAAAGCCACATTAACCACTCAGATTACACACAGAGACTGTTACACTAACTATGTGACCTTGTGAATTATTGCCTTGCACCTGAACTGATTTAGAGCTGCATAGCAAAGAGGCTGAATCCTTAACACAAATGAAAATCTTCTCATTTTCTTCAAAAATCTAACTTAATTACATACTATCAGCATTTTTCACCTCCAGTGGTTCAGAATAGATTGTGTAGATTTTAGATTTAAAACCCTTTTTTAAAGAGTCATGATGCAAGTTAAGTCATGGCATGAATAATTTTGCAAGGCACTATCTTCTGAAAGCCATCTTTGTGGTTTCCAAACAAAGCACAAAATACTGTAACTTGCTTTCTGACATTTTGATTGCAGCTTCTCACACATTAAACACAGTACTTTCTATGTACGTTGCCTAAAAATGCAGACTTATCCCACCTATGGATCTTTGCCACATAGCAACTGCAAGCAAGACGCTCTTCTAAATACTTAACTAGCAATCCAATCAATTACTGATCACCCTTTAAGGGAGAATACCTAATTTCACAGCAATCCACAAAGATTTTGTGCTTGACTGCACTATTAATACTGCACTATGGGGCTGAAGTCCGAATACAAGCTGTTGCCAGGCCACTTGATAGGAGGAAAGGGACAGAGGAGCTGGTCTCCTGTCCTCAAACAGACCCTAAGAACTCAGTTACTTACTTCTCTTACGTTTCCAATGTATTCTATTCTATTTACTTACTAATTGTACTATTAGAAAAAAATCAGAGTACAGTTAAACACTAATATTCATATATATATAATTTCTGGTGCTCATTAAGGTAGAGGTAAGCATGCTCATTAGACATCATATGGATAAACTCCAAGAAACAGAAAGACTTTAACAGTAATTCGTCCTCCCTCTATTTCCACAGTCAGCAGTGTGGTGCAACGGTTCGAGCAGCATAGTCTGAGGTCTAATCACAGAAATAAAGAGCTTTTTCACAGGTTGATGATTTTGTATCAGCTTGCATATGGCAATTAACGCTAACCGTAAGAACTTTCTTCCACCACTGTCTGAGGAAACGCCGCTCGTTACTATCGCCGAAGTGACGTGTCAGCGCCCCCCGCCCCCGAGCCCGTGAATTCCAGCCCGCCGGCACCGCGGGCCCGAGGGGCCTGGGCGGCCGGGCTGTGCCGCCGTGTCCTAACTCCCTACAGCGCCGCACGCGCTCGCCTGCGTTCTTCAGGACTCCGGGCCAGAAGCACAGAGTAAGGACCAGTGGCTACACGCTACACGCTACACAACAACAACGACACAACTGCAACCACACTGCAACCACGATAGCGATGGGGCAAAGAACAGACCTGGCCGCGAGGAGCCTTCGGAGCCGGTTCTTCGCTTCGGAACCTCCTGAAACACTCTGTTCAGGTTCTGGCCCGGGTTCTCTGTTGAAAAACAAGCGGCGACAGAAGATAAGTCAGGCGCTGACTGCACTACTGCATGGGGCCGAGGGGCCGGGAGCTCAGCTCGACTCCTGCTCTGCTGGGGACGAGGGGTGCAGGGCCAGAGGGGACCCCAGCTTTACCAGGCCGCTACACAAAACAAACCTTGCCACTGCAAGATATTCCTTTTGAATCAAGTAGCAGGGCTGGGGTGAAAGAAGTCTTAAAAGACCGAAAAATATTTGCAGTTTCCTTTAATTGGCTCTTCGAGAATCCCCTGACATTAGGTTTTACAGGGGGGTTTCTATTACTGCCCAACCTTATGCAGGGATGCCATTTCACCCCTCTGCGTAGAGCAAATGGGGAAAAAACTATAAAAATAGATTGGGCCTCCCGATCTACAACTTATGCACGATGAGGTGAAGCCCATTGTTTCTCCCTCACGATACAGTAAGAAGCTGCTGGTCACAGAGACGGTGCTGTGGTGTCCCCGGTCACAGTGGAATAGCAGTGAGCCCACTGTCCAGCCCACAGCAGCTCACACAGGAGGCTACAGCAGAAGTGACAGGACCAAGAGCTGGCCCCCAAAGCCATGCCGCGTCCTGCTGTCCACCCGGGGCAGGGACTTTATACTTCATCCTCGTGCCCAGCATACGGCGCTTCCGCTGAAAACGGTGTTCCTCCTCATCACCATTCCCAGACTCAAGTGTGAAACGGGAATAGTAACACTGATGATTTTCTCCTCTTCGGAAGAAACGAGAGAGAGACTCCCTGATCTGTTTTAAGAATCTAGGAATAAGAAGTGCTGGGGCACACAGCCAGACAGTTTCCTTGAAGCCACTCCAAACAAGTACAATAGACAAGGATATGGAAACAGAACAGCATTCTTCTGGTTCTACCCATTGTAGCACCGCAATGAAACATTTTGCCAAAAGCAACATTTAATTTATTTCCTCTGGGCTGCCAAGTTCAGCAACGGCATGTTCCCTGCTTATAATTAAGGGAGACGAGACTTGAGAACTATTCCTAACCGCACGTCAGCCTCGTTCTTGTCACACATAACACTAACACCGTGTGAAAACACTGCTCAACACTTAGCCAGTGCTGCTTTCCAAGTTACGCTTGAGAAAGGAAAGAAAGCAAAACACCCGCGTTTTGAGACTGTTCTCCAGCACAGTAACTGCATCCCCCGTGAGAAAAAGCAAACTGCCGTCTCTAAATTCACTGGGTGCACAGACAACTTGTCCACTGTCCACTTCCGATCGTCCAGTCCAGCTGGCCTATTGTGAGCCTATTGCTCAGGAGAACCACCTCACCCATGGAAATAAAACACTTTTTTCCCCGAAGCCGCAAGAAGAGAACGGAGCCTTCAGACAGTCAGCACACTACTTACCCAGATATTTTCGTTGCTTCGCCAACAAATTGCTAACCTGAACTGTTTAACATATTGCTGTAAATCTTCACCTTCACAGTCTCTCCAAGTGGTGGATCTGGCCCATTACTGTGTGCCTGCTGTTAGCAGACCTTGCTCATGTAAGCAGAAAACCTGACAGTCGAGCTCTGGCTGTAGAACCTTATGTTTCTTTACGAGCAATCATATAATAAAGTTTGTATTAATGCAATAAAGTCCCTCAGTGTGTCTGCCCTCATCCAGTAAGCAGCCTTCCTGGGATTTGGACACACGAGGTCTAGAAAAGTCCGTATGGATTTATATGGACAACCTGCTGAAACATTGTGCAAGGCCATGAACTGAATAAGAAATAAACTGAAGAAGATGCATATTCAGCAAGAACTCACGCATCAGCCAAAACTCACACAGCCATACAAGTGCTCAGCCACTGTGATCAACACCAACCCACTGACTTAGAGGTCAAAGTTGCTACACCCCAGCCTGCAGCACACCGGCCTGCACGCCAGAGAACAGGAGAGCGACAACACAAGTCTCCTCCACGACTGCCGGTTCCACAGTTTCCACACAATTCCGCAAATAACAAAACATTTCACCACTGCAGAAAGGACACAGATTTCAAATCTCAGAATTTCAGTCCGGAAGCAAAAGGTTTTCAAAGACGTGCTCAATTCAAGAAGCTGCTAGCAGCAACGGTTCTAGAGGCTGTGTGTAATATTTCTTAAATGTCTAATTAATTACACTTCCTTTATACTGCAAATATAATGCAATTCATTTTCTAAATATACCTATTTTAAGCATGTATTTTGTTTGCGAGACTAAACTAAGACCATGAGACTACAATGCTGATGATACAGTCCGCTGTGTCTGGCGGCTCTCTGGCCTGCTCCTGCCTCTAGCCCTGGGCGGTTCTGGACGCGGGGTCACACTCACCTCTCTGGCGGCCCTGGATGCTGCGCAGCGCGAGGATGTTCTGCTCGTCGGACAGGAACTGCTTCATCTTGTGGAAGGGCTCCTTGCCGCGGATGGTCAGCTTGTTCCAGGGCTTGGGCCGGGCCAGGATCTCGCTGACGGAGCCCTGCGACAGGCCCAGCACGTAGTGCCCGAAGATGCGCTGGCCGATGTTGTGCTTGATGAGCTGCTCCTTCACCTGCCGGGCGATCTCGGCGGTGTCCATGTCCTCCCCTTCCGAGGTGCTGCCCGCCCCTTCCGACTGGCTAGGGGAGGGCGCCATGCCGTTGACGTCTGGGCTCCCCGCCGGCTGGTGCTGAGATTGCTGGAGGGGGCTGGCGGACAGCGAGGTGGCAGCATAGGGCCCCGGGGCAAAGAGCATGGTGCCGCTGGGGGAGTCCTGGAGGGCTTTGGAATAGAATGTCTGCATGAGCTGGCGCTGCAGCAGGGAGTTGAGGGCCACCTTGCCAGCCAGGGGAAAGGCGCTGCCTGGCCCAGCCAGGGAGGGGCTGAAGAAGTCTTGGGCGAGCCCCGAAGGGGAGAACTGGTGCGTGCCGTTGGCGCTGGAGGCCGGCTCGGCAGCGCCTGAGCTGTTGGTGCTCGTCCCGGCACGCAGGAGGAGCTGGGAGGGGGCTGGAGGAGGGGGGGAGCCCTGCCGGGTGGCGGCTGTGTTGGCGGTGGCGGGAACGCGCTGCTGGCTCTCCGCTTGGGCCTCTTTCCCTTTCCGCCCGGCCGCCCCTACAAGAAAGGTCAAACACAATGCATTATGGGGGAGTCAAAAAAGGGTCCAAAAAGACAAAAAAAAAACAACTATAAAAAAATCAGCCCAGATTTAAAAAAAAAATGGTAAGCAATTTTTTTTTTTAAATACAGAGGGCTTATTTTTCACTTTCAAGACAATTTTTTTGCTAAACCCCCCACAGACAAGACGCCCATGCATTTGTGGTTTGTACCTTTCTTGTAAGTGGCAGCCTGGAACGAAAAAGAGTCTAGACATTCACTGCATTGCCTTCCCTGCATTCCAAAGCTGACATCTTCCTTAGACATCTATGAGGAGTGTGGGTTAGGGAAAAAGGGGGTTTTTCAGGATGTGTTAATGCCTAACTCCCCCCCCCTGCCCCCGTCCTCTCCAGCACTCTCAGGTTCCAACTGTAGCTCCTTGCAGGAGAGGGGGCCACAGTCCAGTGCTGGGCTCAGGAGGATGCCAGTGTGTGTATGAGGGGGTTAGCAGAGCTCGCACGCCTTCCCCTCACTGTGGAATCAAGGACAGAGTGCCGGCTTGCTAACAGTGTCTCGGCTGGTTTGCCAGAGATGAACGCTGAGCTGCTGTGATGGGAAATGTCTGGCAGGCATGTCCATGGATATATCGGCAGAGGCAGCAGTGTCCCAGCTACCTGCGCGTTCGCCTTTCCCAGCCACTGCATTTCCACACTGGCAGCTCCGAATGACAGGTTGCAGCTTGTGGGGCTTGCTGTGTGTGTGTTCTTGGCTGCTGCAGTCTTTTTCTGTTTTACCATCAACCCAACTCCTCTGCTTGAAGCGAGCTGGATTTTTACGGCCAGGTACAAAAGACAGCTTAAGAGTTTGTGTCTAATGAATAAGGAATAAACACAAAAGGTCTGAATGGATAAAAATGTCAAAGATCTCCTGGTATTAAAAGTCACAGTTTCCAAAAAAGGAGAAAAACTGTCTCTCAAAAAATATTTCCATAGAGCTCAGATAAATGGTTTAACATTTAGAAAGATTGAAATGTCTTTAATTTGTAGAAGAAACAGATTGCACAGTACTGCCTGATTGCTTGTTGTGGATTACCTGAGAGTAAGAAGAAATTCTGCCGTGGGATTTACTGGGAACTCACAAGGACAGATGTGGCCTTATTGTAATTCATTAGCAGTGAAAGAACAGGGCCACATTGCAGTTATCGAATGAGAAAAATGAACATCACTGCTTTTAGTAATGAAAATAAAAAATTAATTTGAAAAACTATTCCCACTAATCACCCAAAGAACTACTCACTAAAATGTATTGCATTGAAAAACACCCTGTGCACATTTTCCAGCCTGGAGTGAGTTCCTGAACGTGAACACCACAGCATTCCATAAATTATGATCTACAGAAGGATCCTGTAAATTATTCTTAGAAACAGTACACTGCATGTCCCTATACCATCACTGGGCATACTCATTGTGCCCAGTTTTTTTCTGCAAGTCAAGAGCTCTTTGTCCACCTGTCTTTGTACAAATTCAGCATGAATCTCCTTAGGCAAAAGATACCCCTGTATGTTTTGAAAAAAACAAAGTATACACACGTCCTGCCTTTTTAGTTTAATTGCACTGTATTTCCCTGTCAAACCTTTCATTTCCAAATCCCACCTGCTGGAGAAAAAAAAACTGTTACAGGGGACAAAATGACCAGGTCTGTTTCACAGCAAGTGATGGAGAGTTAAATCCAGGCTGTATGAGTACAGGCAGCACAAGACATTTCAGAGGTGAGGTCTGAGACAACACCTCTGGCAAAACAACACATCCGAACCAAACCACAGCTGTGTGGACAGACCTTGATAATTCTGCCAGCTACTGGTACTGATCCATTAAAAGCAGATTCTAGTCACAGAACATACTGCACACAGCAGGGCAGCACAAAGGAAGATCTCCCAATGAGCAGAAGGGTAACCTCTACAGTACAACCCAGAGGCTACAGGAGCACCCCACAGCTGCTTAAGTTACTTTCTCCCCAGCGAACAAAAATACGTAACAGCTGCAAACGGCTCATAGGGTGCTCTCAGGGTACCAGAGATGTCAGGGGAAGGAAGACAATGTGAAATCAAACCGGGTTCTGATGTCTTCAGTCTGTGATGCTGTATATCTCCGGTGGTATACTGCGCTTACCCAGACAACTCTCCCATAAAGTTGTTAACAGGGCTGTTTTTTTCTGATAGCAGGTTGATCAAGGGATGGAACTTTAATGAGCAGGGTTCACAGTTTTTTTTCCCACTCTCTCCAGCCAGAAACTGACCTATACAGTATATCCAGTACTCACAGAAACACTTAAATAAGGACATCAGGAAGATTCTAAACAAGTCTCACGATTAAGACAGTACAATAAAATATGGACAGAAAATGTGAAACATGGATTCATGAGTTAATTAAAGCAGCAATGGTGGTGAATGTACTGTACCTTTTTAGTTTACCAATGATCAAATATTGTGGAAAAAATTGATTTAAACCCTGCTGTTAGGACAACTGGATCAGAGCACATCATGGAGTTCAGAGCTCCCTTTTCACTGCTTCATGAAAGAAACCCTTTGCTGTTTTCAAGGTCTGTGTACATCTACAAGATTAACCAAGTAATACTTTTTTGTGTGATGTTATGGGGGACTTGGAATAGTCAGAATTTAAATTAAACTTGAGTCCCTGTGCTCTGGTTTTATGCAATCGGGTCAGATAAATCTGCACCAGAAAAAGCAAAAAGCCCTTAGATATTTTTTTATTAGCAGCGTATTTAATTTTCTCTATATTTAAGCAGTCCTCGAGCACATTGCGATGACATTTCAAACCCCATGCAAACAGTGCCACAGAAAGGGCAGACTGGAGAGCAGAAGGGCCTCATTTTCATAGCCAGGCCCCACCACGGACGCACACACGCGCGCGAGCCCTGAAGGGCCCCAGCTCACAGAGCCGCGTTCCAATGTGTCTGAGCAGCACCGGGGGAAGGGCACAGGCTGACCTTAAAGAGCCAACAGCCTGCGAACAGCACTTGTCATTACCTGTTTGTGAAATTCACAATTAGTTTGCCCACGTTCAGGCCATCTCAGCCTTTCTTACTTTCAAAGAAAAATTAGCATGTCCTGCCTGCTTCAGAAAGGTTACAGGAAAATGCCTTTTCCTTAGACTCTGAAAAAATGTTGAGGTCCCAGAGCCCCCCAAGGAAAAGAGCATCCAGACAAGTGCAGGGGTGTCTGAATCCATGAATGGATATCAGATAAGACACTGCCACCGAACTCCATGCCTTCATTGTCTGAGGTGTTATTTATGCACTGGGCAAAGTGTGGGGCAGCCTGCTCTTCCAGATATTCTCTTTCCCTCAGTGAGGCTGCCCCTTTTCACTTGTCATGTGTCACTTCAGTGCTGAGGAGTTAAAGCTCTGTAATCAGCAGCTGATCGGGCAGGCCGGGCAGGCCGGGAGCCACTGTGGTGTTGAGAGGGTGCGGTGGTGCTGGACCCTGTCGTCAGCGAGCACTTGAAAGGACCAATGTGGAGGACAGCTGCATGCGCTACAATATGCATACAGTGGCCTTTCACTCCCTCAGCCCCGTGCTCAGTGGAGTAACGGAAGGCCAACTGAGGACACTGCGGTGTTCATATTGCAATCTTGTCAACTCTCTGCCCGTTCTCGGCTGGCGCAGTGGCTAGAGCACGAAGGGCCGCCCCCCCCGCCGCAGAGGACACTCACCACTCAGCTCGCTGTTGGCGATGCGCAGGCCGGCGCTCTCGGACTGCAGGGCCCGGTTCTTCTCCAGCAGCAGCACCTCCAGGGGCTTGGAGGAGTCCTGAGAGAGAGCGGGGTACAGTCAGCCAGGCCGTGCCCCAGACTCTTGGGGAGTCCGGGGACACGCGCCTCTCATGTTTTAAAGATGACTGCTAGAGTGTGAAGGGGCGGATCTGAGGTGACAGCACGAAGGGGGAGTGGAAAAGTAAACTGTCACTACTCTGGAATTTTAATTGGATGTTGTTCGGAAAGGAGAAAGCCTGGTTCTCATTTCTCCGCTGTTAAGGAAATCTTCAGTGCCACAAATTAAATTTCTCTTCTTTAAAAAAAAACATTGAAAGAAATGCTGACGGTTAAAACCAGAGGTAAAAGCTTTTAACACCCTGGGAACACCCAGGGCTAGGTGGCTTGTGTCTGGAATCGTAGCCCAGTTATTTCTTTTCCAGTCATAGTGATAAATTCTAACTTTGCTCATAGGAACTGCCCTTTGTATTATGAAGTGACACAAATGTTGCAAGTATTACAGGATACAATTCACATTCTTGTTCTTTTACCCTTGAATTGTTTAATGGCTTCAGAACAGTACAGTGTTTACGGAGCTTAAGCATTTAAAGAGACGCTCTGCCTCTATTTACATTTGTATAGAACATCCTGTGGCCTCACTGTGCCCATACCTGTGCTGTCGAACCCTCGGATGGCCCAAACTCCATGGACTTCAGGATACTGTGGAACAAAACAGAGGCAACACACCAGTTACGCCTGACGCTGGGCCTTAGAAGAGAGGCCGTAGTGACTGGTAAGCGAGAGCTGCTTGAACTCATGCTGATGGACCCCAGGCAATGCAAACACTCTCTGCAGGGCCTGTGAATCCTTACATTAAAGAACTCCAGTCATTACATTAAATGAGACTGAGCATTATGTTAGTGTCGAAAACGTTAGTCAAATCTTTTGGGCTTTTTGATAAATTAACCTAACTTTCATAAACAAAAAGTGAAAAAAAAAACTATTAAATTTAAAAAACTACTGCCATAGACAAGGGATTAAATGTCAAAAAGGGTGATCAGTTCCAGATTTTCAGATTCACAGTACAAGGGGTTATCAATCTTAACACAGCTGGTTTTTAGATGTGAAACCTCACATTCTAACAAAAATAAGTTCTTTCCAGGAAGCCTCACTTTTACAATATATGACAACAATGTCATTTTTAATATCTAAAGAGAAAACTTTAAATTACTATCTTAAATGAAATACATGACCATAATTAAATACTACATCAAATGACAAATGATTGAAAGATACAGTATCAATAAAAAGATCAGTATCAAAGAAATGCCACATAGCTTGAAAGAGCAATGCAGTCACTCAGTTCCCCCAGCCTAACTTCATGTCAATTTTAGACAGTTTATAGACACCATTAATAATTACATGTGCTAAGATCAGATACAGCTAAAACCACATAAAATCAGTAACAGACTTTACCATCACAAACGTCAAGTTTAACTCATTTATATATAAGAGAAATAAAACAGAAACCTTCACTCCTGGTGATATATCTGCTGAAGAAATGCTTTTTAAAGCTGTGCATATCCAAACCAGGTGTCCAAAATCAGATCTGAAATGGTTCCACTAGAGTTCTGCCTCTCTCAGGTGATCTCTGACCTCTGGACAATCCAGCATTGCTTGAACTTGCCAGCTTGCTGCTGCTAAACAGGATACATACCCAAACACTGGCTTCTACAACACAGCTACCTCACAACCAAGGATCACACCCACTCATCCTTCTCAGCACTTGCAAAGTGAGGAACCTTTACAAGTCGTTCTGTGTGCATGAATACTCGCTGCTGCACATCAAGCAGCCACACAAAAGCACAGCCAATAGGAAGGGTGGCAATGCCATTTAGTGACCAGCTTGTGCCCTGCCTGCATTTAAAGGTTAATGGGATTTCAGTGCTGGCACAATGTCAGCAAACTGCGCTGCTTGTCTCCAAGACCTTAATGAAAAAGAAACTCACTTCTGAGCCCTTCGGCCCCTTGCCGAATGGAAAGAGATGCTCAAATAACCAAGTTTCCCCATCCCTTCAGCTGTTATGGTGATGGTGGCAGCAATCGAAGGCAGGCAGCCAGTATCAGCTAGAAGCTGACACAATGACGTGATGCTAAAACCCCCTTTTCAACTTCCAAAGCAGCTCCTGAAGCAGTCATCCTGAATTAGAAAGACTCCTGATCCGTCAGGAGGTGCCTCAGAAGTCTACTGCAGAGAAACATGAAACCACCGCAGCGTAGCGCTCCAATCTAGCACAGCTGTGGGAGCTGGATAATTTCAAGTTTGTTTCCTCTTGCCGAGTTCATTTGCATGGACAGATGTGAGAAATTTGTACAAGAGCCTGCAGCTCATGAAACCTGAGACAGATCACACTGCCATGCAAAGCCTTCTTACTAGGTTTTCTCCTACGTGCATAAGTAAAAGTGAAGTGAACAGTATTGCCGTGTCCCTTGTACTTATACAAGCAAATTTACAGGACAAAGCTAGTTTTTGTAATGGTAAAATGGTATCATCCAATGACTTTCTGATCTTTAGCCTCCTGCTGTGAACAACAGCCGTTATAGTCAGAATGACATTGAAGCTCATATGATCATCCACTGCAGACAAGACATTATTCTTAATGAATAACTGTTCTGTCTAGAGGTCGGCGGCTCTTGTCCTCACCCACACGCACTGGACTACGTGCGGCATGCTTTGTTACTTACTTCAGCTCCTTCTTGACTTCTTCATAATCTGCCTGCTCCTGCAGCTTTTCCTCCAGTTGCTGAGAAGCACAGATTAGGAAGCATCAGTACAGCCTTGTTTGGGAAAGTACAGCATGGATATCTAGAAATACATGCATTTGCCTTCACACTATATACTAACTCATAAAATTAAACAAAAGGTTTTAAAAAAAAGGGAAGACCTGTGAAAAGTATTCTGAATTTCTTTCTGGAACGATCTGAATGTTTCCAAGTAATACTTGAATACTGTATAAATATGCCCTTCAAGTAAAATAGTTTTTTTTCAAAATTCTGAAATTTCCATTTTGTCTATTATACTCACTGATGACCCAGCTTCTTTATCTGTCTACTTCTGGATTATTTAAAGCTTCCGACTTGTTTTTTAATCTTATGCATTATGTATTTTTTAATTGTTAATGGATGCATATTCATATTCATTCATATGCAACATGATGCAAAGCAGTGTCCCATCTGGGACAATAAAGAGAGGCAGCAAAGCAAGAGAGATGCTTGAAGAGGCGGCCTCAAGGCGAAGTGGCCAGTGCAAGGCTGACCTTGAGGGTGGAGTTCTTGGAGCTGAGCTGCTGCTCCAGCTGGGAGATCTGGCTGGCCGAGTTCTCGCGCAGTTTGCTCAGGCTGGCCTGCAGTCTCTGCACATCCTCCACCAGCTGCACGATCTCCCGCTCCTTTGCGCTCAACTCCACCTCCAGACTGGAGCGTGACAGCACCTCTAGAGCCTGCTCCTGCCACACGAGAGAGCTGGTGAGGGGAGCCGCCCACCGCTGCACACGCACTGGTCACACATGCACACAGCCCCCCTCCCCACACGCACGCCTGGACTCACACTGTCGGTACCTCATTCATAACAGATCAGACATACGGAGAAGACTCACTTCCCAAAAAGGAATAATGTTTTGTACTCAGCTGTAAAAAACCTACTAAAGCAGACAAACTGATCCAAGATCTCTGGACTGTGGTGCCGTAGACCAGAGATTCTTCCCTCCTATTTCTTCTTCCATCAGGTGTATTAGAAATCAGTGTTACACTACAGTGCTCGTTTAAATTGCCATGAAATATCCTATGGCAACAATGCGCGTGGCGGCCGTGGAGCTGTGATTGCGATCGGGGCGCGAGGTGGGTGTGCTTACCACGTCGGGGGCTTTCTGGATCTGGGTGGCCAGCTGCAGGGACTTGTTGGCGGACGTCAGCTGCTCTCTTAAGGCCTCGGCCTCCCTCTCTGCTGCCTCTGCTCTCTGCAGAAACGAGGGGAGATGTATTCACTCCTACAGATGGCAATTACTCCAGCACATTCATCACACCACGGCCTGCTGCTCACAATGGATCCCTAAACACTCGGCCTCATAACTGACAAGAGCACTGCCGAAAGAGAAGTCCAGAAAATGATGGATTTCGGTTTCATATGGAATGAGGAGGAAATAATGGAGCATGGCAGGCTTTTACCTGAGCACGAAAGAATTAAAGACATTATGTGCAAAGATGTCTAACACTACAACCCTCTTCATCTGTACACTAAAGACAAAAGACAACGCCCGGAAAAGTGTTAAAGTTGAGCAACCATGCGCAGACATGCTGAACACAGGTGGTCACACAAGCCGACTCAAACTTCTGGAAAGTACTGACCAAATCAACACAATAGACTACCGCATAAAACAAGGACCTAAGGACAACCAAGGAAACTACTGTACAAGCAGGGACACTAAAATGTTATCCTGTCTATTGTGTAAGTATTTTTCCTCGATTTAGCCTTAATGTAACCCTTTAAGCTTCTGTGCATAAAGGCGCAGCCAAACTGTTAAAAGTTAACGACAAGAACCAGCTATTCAGCCCATCAGTTTTTGACACTTTGCAGTACACCAAGCGGTTTTATTACAGACTTCAGCCTTGATTTTAAAGGTTCACTGTGTCACTGCCTCCCTAGGAACGTGCCCTGGCAGTACATTCCATGTGGAAAAAAGGGTTTCCTAGCAATCTCCAGCCACATGGGGCCTCCAGACCACAGGAAGTAAACCAGACACTTGCTCCTGACGAGGAAGGGAGAGTGAATCCCGCTCTCTAGCATGTGACCATGCCTGGATGAGACCCTCAGGAAGATCCTGATGCAGCACAATGAAGTGCGGCCGACTGCGGAACAGTCCGAAAAGCCCTCGAGTTCAACCTTCATATTATCCAAAATTAAAAGTGAAAATAAATGCATTCCACCGTGGGCAAAGGAATTCATTTAAATAATGCAAGAACGTGAACCAGAATATAAACTAAACACATCTTTCTAGTTCTTTTATCAAAACGATATATATATATATCTGTCCATTTTAAAATAATTTACTTTCTTTGTAAATGCAACTTAATATTCAATGTACTGTAGATGTGTTGGAGCTAAGGTTTTTTTTTAGCAAGGTCCTAACTACAAAAATAGGGTTAATGATTGTGTTATTTAGAATCACAGTAAATTATTGTTTTCAGAAATTATATAGTTCCTTTAACAGCAGGGATCGCATTAAATGCTGGGCTTGTTTTCACAGACATACCCTCTTTTTGCTGTGGGAAGTCCCACATTCCCGGATGCATATTTGAATAAAAGGGTATAAGATATATATTTAATGTCGAATAACTCTTCTAAAGCAGATAGAGTTTGTCAAGACAATGCAGATGAAATGAGACTGGGAACACTGTCACTGCTGCACGGGCCTGAGAGCAGAGTGTCGCACTCATTTACTTCCCTGTCGTCAGGTCGGAGCAGCTGAATCTCTACCTCAAATCTCAGCCAGCACTTAGTGTGGGACCACTGCTATACACCCTGGTGTTCAGGGCTTCTGGTCGCACCACGGAAGTATCATGCTATCTATCTATAAACCCAACCCACTCACTGGGTGGAAACTGCGTTCTCACAGCTGTAAATACAGAGGCCATTTAAGAAAACGTTCAATGCTCAAAGCGCTGTCAGAAAAAGAGTTTGAAATGGCAGTAAATTGATTGAACGTGGCTGGAAATGCAATAAGATCAGAAAATGGGTAATCTACAATACTGCCCCCTTCAATTAGTAGTGGCTGCACAGCTTCTGCACTTCAGATGTCAGTGTTTTCTGACAGTGGGTTTGGTGAAACAGCAGTGGCACCCCACTTATCAAATAAGAACCAGCTGCACTGACAAGCACAACAATCCGTCACACCTTGCACTGGCCACTGTGATTGCCTTTCAGAAATCACCTTTTAATATTTCAAGCCGGAGTCAGATTACGATTAGCTTCGCTCTTACACCGAATAAGCGCTTTTCTTTGATGAACCACAGCACAGCCTTCAGGCTACACGGTTCTCAGCTCTGTCTGTGAGCTCCCCAACTATGGCAACACAGAAATGAACTTAGCCAGTCACATTTCACTCTCCTTAATGGACTCTCCTGGAGGGAAAGAACAACCCCTTTAAACTGGTTGGCAAATCTTCTCCAGTTCCTTAGAAGTTTTTCTCAAGGTTTTAAAATCTAAAGCACAAGGAAGAATCTAGTCCTTACTGAAGTTATTAAGCTGTAGGTACATGCAATGTACAGGAACCTGCAATCTTCCATTTAGTTGCTAGGATTGTTAACCGCAGCCTTCAAAGGGTTACTTTCACTGCTGTAAAATTAAAGAGCATTTAAGGGTTGTTTTCTTGAAAATAAAGTGTGCAAATTCCACTCTTTAAACGTCCATGAAGAGCATGAGAAAAGTCCTGAGAAGCAGACTGGAGTGTGTATTGTCCTCCCAGGCCTGGCCAGACAGACCCCGCTGAATTGCAGACCGCAGCACTGCACCAGGCACCAGGCCTCTGAAACTCCCGTGTCACTGCAATACCACCTCCAACAACAAGCCAAGCTTGTTGTTATTAACTTGGAAAACCAGAGAAAAAACAACAAGGAGTAACTTGAATAAATGGCCTAGATGACGTTTGGCAAAAATATTATTTATTTAAGGGTGACTGTCCGACAGGTAGTTATGCTATCATCCTGTTTGCAGTAGGATAATATGCCAGCAGCATTAAGTTTAAGGAAAGAAAAACAAATTCACTAGGGGGTGCAACCAGAGCACCACAGTCACACCTGAAGTCAAAAGATATGGCACTGCTGAGATTCTGACACACATTCTTTACTGTGTTTACAAAGCACAGCTATACAAGCAGCTCTTCAGCTGTACCCCCACAGAGACACAGTCCGGAGGGCACAGCAGCTCAGACTGGGCTCCTCTGTCACTGCCTATGCTAGTGTACCGGAAAAACGGCCAATATTGTTCAGAAGGCCTTCGCAGATGGAAAAGCTGTGGGGTTTGCTACAACTGGAGACCGCACATGAGTGGCTCAGAAGGTTTCTTTATATAAACTCAGGAAATCTCCAGATTAAAGCACAGCATTGCGTCATACACAATCATTTCACAATAGGGGCAGGTATATGACCATTTGGATATCTGTTGAACAATTTTTCACTTTTCCAACCGCTCACATTTAAGCAAAAAAATCAAGACCACTAAGGCAGTGTTGTTGTCAATGGCAACCTACGTGTTAGTCACAGAACACGGTCAACATGGGACAACGCCGTGAAGAAGCTGCATGACATGACCGCCATGCAGTACCTTACAGCACTAGATCACAGACTCACCTGATTAGCTCTCTCCAGGTCGGTCATCACCATCTCAATCTCATCAGCCCTGGGGGAGAGAGGAGCACAGTGAATACAGCGCCTGACGAAACCCACAGCAGCGCAGCAGCAGTGGATTACAGAGTCCTCACCTCCAGCAGCTAACTCCATCGGCACAGTAACATGATTTCTTAAAATTACTCGGGGATGAAATGCTTTAAAGTACAAATATGAGGAGCTGTAAATAAAATTTGGTTGGAAGGAAAGGGCTTACTCACTTAACGGTGAGCCCCGTGCCGGTTATTTTTCATGCTGCTCTTACTTCAAAATACTCTAAGTCAGTCTTAATTTATAACTATACAAGCACGCGTGTCGCTGCTGGGCAGAACGCTCAAGAGGGCGTTATCAGAGCAAAGATCCCAGACGAGAGGAAGCCAACAGGCCCGTCCAGCTTGCTTGCTTCTTACTAGGTGATCGATCTGAGGATCTTACTCGCAGCTTGAGCAATGTTGCTGGGAAGCTTGTCCTTGTGCCGCTTCCCTTCGAGACTTATCAACGGATTGTGCCACTATGGATCACCGATTGTTTTGAAAATGCTTTGCAGTATTAGTCTTATACACTCTTAGAAGGGTTCAGAATTATTGACAGAACGGTATACAGGCTGTCCGATCTGACATGTTTTTCACCACCTCATCCAGCTACAGAAGGATCCCACAAGGTTCCATTCTGGGTCCTGCTCTTTTCTCCACTCATATAAACAATACTGCAAAGACAACAGGAAACGGTCCTGTCCACCTCCATGCCAGTGACACAGTGGTAAACATACACTCAACTAGACTTGACTCGTCATCTCGTAATCGCCATTGTGTAATTCACCTACATTGCATTACTATCCATTTGGTTTCCAGAGAATTCAGATCCACATTTATTTAAGCAAACCCAGCAGCCTTTCCGTAAACTGAATCTGTTGCATTCTGCTGTTATCACATGTATGCCATTCAATAAAAACGAAACCCTTAGTAATAATCGCAAAACTCTCAACTAAATAAAGCAGAATAAAGTTACAATTGATAGTTATGTCAGGCTGGATAATACCTCTCATAATGTATGAAGAATTGTACAAGCAAAAGTAAAGTTTACACAGCACTGCCAGGAGACTTCTTGTTTGCTTGCATGTAGCTCATCCAAAATCACAATGTAAAGCACTTTATTTTAAAAAAAGGCAAAGGAGGTTAACACATGTGTAAAATGATATGTAGGACATAATGTAACTGTTACACTTTTACACTGGGGTGCCTTGCAATATCTCTTTCAAACAATGTATCGTAACCATCTGTTCCCTTATCTTGCTGTAACACTGTTGCACTGACTTCCTGGTCGGTCAGTTTTGTCTGTCGCTGTGTTCTTATGTTGGGAGTGTGCTGTGAAACGATTTTACCCAAATGGGGACAACAAGGCACTATTCAATTCACATTAAGGTACTAGATTTGATACACAAATCTGACAGGCAGGACAATGCATGAAAAGTAATGCCTGCTTTAGAGCAACATGGAAGCAACCA